ATAAATTAATTACCGAAATTGACACACGGCCAGCAATTTGGATATGCGCTCAGATAATTATTCGAATAAAATAAAAAAAAAAACAAACTTGGGAAGAGGTTGCCCACAGTTTTATTTCGAAATGCCTGCCAATTTTATTTATCCAATGCCTACGATTCTTTTTTTCTTTTATTTAATACGAAGTAAACTTGCACTTATTAGTAAAAACAAATCGTCGTCACTTTCACTAGATGCTTCTAGAGACATCAATATACCATTCTACGTCCAAAACTCGACTAAATTTGACAACATCGAATACAATGGCAAAACAACTGCCGCTGTTAAACCGCCTCATGTGTTTTAAGCCGCACGGCAGCCTACGAGGCATAGACGCTGCGCAAACCGTCCTGTCTGTGTTTAACCTAACTCCGCTTAGTATTTCTGTCCAATCTTGCACATTTGAAAGATATATCTGCAAAAAGATCGATTTTTATACTGTACTACGTAAAATATTTTTTTGTACCATTTTTGCTGTAGTAAAAATATTATAGTCATAATCCTCGAGAATTTTGCTACTACTGCTCGTATTGCTTGAATCGTTACTACTACTGCTTTGTACAAATGTTTGTCATTTGTGCAGGAATCTTATGGAGATTCGACAGTACGATTTAAGTATGTTGACTGTTTATGCCGACCTGTGACGGAACTAGAAAGAAAATCTTCTTCTGGAAAAACAATATACGTAAATACGCATAAACAATTAAATATAAGTAATATACGCAAAAATGCTAAATTTTAAATTAAAATGAAAATTTACATAATCCGAGTTGTTGGTTTTTTTATTTTTATCTTCGTAAAGTAAGTTAGGTATATTGGCAATTATAAATACTTATTAATCATCATCATCCAGCCTCAAGAGTCCACTGCTGAACATAGGCCTCTTCCTCATGTTTTCAACCCCGTCCATCTTGCGCCGCTCTTATCCAGTTTTTTATGAGTCTTCTTAAATCGTCAGTCCATCTTGTAGGTGGTCGACCGACGCTTCTCTTGTCTTCACTTGGCCTCCATTCCAATAACCTCTTTGTCCATCGCCCATCTGTCATTCTGGCTATGTGTTCTGCCCATCTCCATTTTAGTCTGGCTATCTTCTCGATGCCATCAAAGCGCCATCTTCAAAAGTCACAATATATCCCTTGATACAAAAATGAGACATTTGAGATGCTATGTTTTCTCTGTGTTGTTGTACGGGCAGAGGCATGGACGCTTACAGACACCACTATTAAAAAACTTGAAGCATTTGAGATGTGGCTTTATAGAAGAATGCTGAGAATATCATGGACAGCAAGGATCACGAACAAGGAAGTTCTAGGAAAAATGAAGAAGGAACCAGATATTGTGTTTACAATCAAACGCATAAAATTGCAATATCTGGGACACGTTATGAGAAATGAGCAACGTTACTCCCTGCTACAGTCTATATTGCAAGGTAAAGTCAAAGGTAAGCGAGGACCCGGTAGAAGGAGAATATCATGGCTGCGGAATTTAAGAACATGGTTTAAGAAAACCTCAAAGGAGCTGTTTCGAGCCGCAGCGAGCAAGGTTATGATTGCCAATATGATTTCCAACATCCGAAACGGATAGGAACCAGAAAAAGAAGAAGAAGATCTTCTCGATGATGTCAGTCACTCCGGTTCTTCTCCTGATGTCTTCGTTTGTTACAAAGCACGTGGTGTTCGTGTGTATTAAGGTATAAAAAAAGGCGCTTATTAAAAGCTTAAAATTTTTTATTATAAAGAAGATCTTTTCGGAATTGTATCATTCCATCATCAGTTTAATAAAAAAGGTTGTTAAAATAACATTGTGTGGCCACATAAAAAACATTCGATGGACATCTGGATTTAAAAAATAATAATCTTCATGTTATTTATTCAGGTAAATGCAATAGACTCTTGACTTGTGTAATATAAAAAAATGAAACTGGGGGCATCTTATATGACCCCCTGTAGTTGGTGAGGTTTTATTGACTTACATTATCTCTGATCTGTGTTGGAGTCTAGGGCTAACTTCGTTTGTTATTATGTCTCGGAGAGTTATTCCTAACATGGACCGCTCCATTATTCTCTGCGTGACTCTCAGTTTGGTAGCTGCTGCTTTTGTTAAGGTAAGTGTTTCTGCTCCGTACGTCAAGACTGGGAGGACGCACTGATCAAATACCTTTCTCTTTAGGCATGTGGGCAGCTCACTTTTAAAAGTTTCTCTCAGTTTTCCAAATGCTGCCCACCCAAGGCCGACTCTTCTCTTCAGTTCATGAGTCTGGTTATCTCTGCCAATCATAATTTCATGTCCCAGGTATTTATATCTATCTACGAGTTCTATTTCTTTCCCACCAATACTGATGTTCTGGTTGGGCACCAAATTGGTCATGATTTTTGTTTTCGAGATATTTATATTTAAACCTACATTTTCTGTAGCCACAACGAGTTCCTGTACCATCTCTCTTGCCATACCTAGATCTTCAGCTATTATAAGTATATCATCGGCGAAACGTAAGTTGTTTAGATATTCTCCATCTATTTTTATTCCCTTTGTCATCCAATCCAAATTCTTAAAAGCATGTTCTAGCACCGTATTAAAAAGTTTAGGTGACATTGGGTCTCCTTGTCTAACCCCCCGTTCTATTTTTATGCGATTACTGTTAGTATGTAATTTGACAGTGGTTGTTGCCTGCAGGTATATTTTGTATAATAATTTAGTATATCTATAATCTAGCCTGCATTCTTTAAGCGCCTGTAATATTTTGCTTAGCTCAACTGTGTCAAAGGCTTTGTGAAAATCGATAAATATTAGAACTAGAGGTTTATTGTATTCCACTGCTTTCTCTATTAGGGTTTTTATACTTTGTAGATGGTCATTTGTTCCGTAACTTTTTCGGAATCCTGCCTGTTCCCTTGGTTGATAAGTCTCTAATTTTCTTTCCATTCTCTTAACTAGTATTCGCGTAAACAACTTATATATATGGCTGAGGAGGCTAATCGGTCTGTAATTCTCTAAATTTGCTTTGTCTCCTGCTTTGTGTAATAGAATCATAGTAGCGTTGTTCCAGTCTGTTGGAATATTGGCGCTGTGAAGGCAGATATTGAAAAGTTGTTTAATTTTTTCAAGTAATACATCCCCTCCAATTTTTAGTGCTTCTGATACTATTCCATCTTCACCCGGGGTTCGATTATTTTTCATTTTCTTCAGGGCTTCTTTGATTTCTGATTTTGTTATATTGGGCATTAAATCTGATCCTTGGTTTAATACCCCAGTTTTTAGTGTAATTGGAGGTTCCGTATTGTTATCTTTTTTTCTTGATCTATATAACTCTGTGTAGAACTCTTCGACTATTCTTAATATTTCATCTCTGTTCGTTGTTTCTTCTCCAGTTCTGTTTCTCAGTTTGTTAATTTCTATTTTCCCCTTTTGAACGCTCCTCTTCAAAACTTTCATGTTCTTATTTTTCTCTATTGCCTGTTTTGTTTTTTCTACATTGTAGTTTCTTATGTCTTTTCTTATTGCCTTTGTGATCGTCTTATTTATTTGATTTATCGCTTCTTTGCTTGCAGTGTTATCTCCTTTCATTTGTCGCCTTAGTTGTATAAGGGTTTTCGTGGGTTGACTCAGTTTTTCATCTTTTTTGCATTGTGTTGACTAGTTGTTTGTTCAATATATTGATTTCAGCTGTTGTTGTATCTTTCAATGAATTCCCAATATATTTTTCGAACTCCTGAATGTTAGTTGGTTTTGTCCATTTCTTTGGTTGTTTCTTATTTATCATTTTGAGTCATTCTTTTTCGGTTGATATCATTATTTTACCTCTATACATATTAATATTACGTTTTAATTTATATTGTAATATTATATTGAATTATGTTGCAGTGTATTTATTGGATTGTAGTTTTTATATAACTAACAAAATAAACAATGAATTTTACTGCAGAGTATGTCTAAAATTTTTTTTTTAATTTAACTCCTTTTATACATAATGAAAATAATAATATGTATTTTCATTAAAACATTCATACAATCCTTCATTTACTATACTATTACAGGTCAAATGTTTATATGCAGCAAACGATGCACCATATACCTATATAACTAATTCTTTTTCTCTTTCTGCTCTCTCTTACCTATAGAATTATATATGTGATGATTGTGCAGATTGACTCCCATATAAATTTGTAACGGCGAACGCGTGTATAGAAGTATAACTTCTACCGGCAGTCTCACTGGACTGTCACACCCGTTTTTTTTTCTATGGCGTTAACTCAATTCAGTTGTTTCTGCGCCACTTGGGGAATTGCGAGAAAGAATTACGCGAGCATTGTCGCGGTATTACGAATATCTGCCAAAGTTTGTGCATAATGTGAAAATAGGCGGTATTATTGTTTATAAAACAACGGAACTCACTTTGAATATTTTCTTAATTGACATTTTTAACAAATTTGTAGTTCATCAAAAACTCCATTAAATTTTCCATTTAAGCCAAAGTTTCACAATTATTGCTTCACCCTGTATAATTATTATTTATGTCATTGTATAGAATTGTTTATAGTCGTTTCAATGATGTATCACAAGTATGGGTTTGCATTTTAAACTTTTTTGGTTGTGGTGGGTGGGGCCTAGGGGGCTGATGGGAGTGAGTTCTCTTTCATGTCATTTTAGTTTCCACTTAATATCCTAGACATTTTTCAAGCATTTTTCAATATCAGCTTTTGTTCGTGAGATATAGCCCGTTGTAAGTTTTAAATTGACACAGTGTATATGCAAAAAAAGTAGAAAACAATATCAAATTAAAAAAAAATTCATATTTTCTTTAATGACAAATTAAGCCCACATTTTACAACTCACTCATAGTGAAATGATCATCTGTAGGGATATTTTATAGCGATTTATACAAAAAACTGACTTTTTATGCTTCACACCCAAAAATTGATATTTTAAACAGATATCTCTTGAACTATAAGGAAACACAATGATTTAATTAAGTATTTATTATATTAAAATATAAAAAAAATACCAAACACCACTTATGATTAGGCTAAAATAATACTGGATCAATTCCCGCCAATCTATCCCAACTCTCTGGAATCGACTCTGAACCATAAAGACAACTTTTTATTTTGATTCTCTCAGTGTCATCTAAAATAATCTTAAAATCAGTCTGCACGTAAACTTTTTTAGCCTCCTCTTTGATCATAGTAATTCTTTCCATAATCATATCGAAAAATGCGCTGGGTGTTACCCATTTTAAAAAGAATGGATCTGTTTTACAAATATCTTTTGCAGATAGACTGTATTTTCTGTCCACCCAGATTTTTAAAAGGTCTAAATTAACTAGATCCTTGACATCGTTGAGACACGAAAAAACTTTTAGGTTCTTTGGAATTGTCGTAAATTCAAAAGGAGTCTCTGTTTTTAACATAAACTTTTTCCTTACACCTTCCTGCTTCATATAAGAAATAACGTCTAAAATATAGTCTTTGCTATCTTCGTTATCTTCTAGTGAAATCAAAAGCGATATTTTCCCTGCTTTCCAAAACACTTTATACAGTGTTGTAAGATGAAAATCCCTGCAAAAACCTTCTTCCAGAAGGTAAGCCTTAATTTGGTGATCAGATATGTTGTTAAAAGCTGCATCAGACATAGTAACAATTTTTGTTAGAGGATCTATTTTGAATTTTTCATCTGACGGTTGATAGCGAATTCTCGATTAGCTGATTAAAAGGTTCACAGAGTTTGCTTAAAATAAACGGTTCATTTTTTATAATAACCACATCAGTATTATCAATAACCTTGTTCCAAATGTCAAAGTTACCAGATTTGAAGTTAATTAGCTTTGGCAAAATAATGTATGGGCTCAGCAGTAGTTCACCAATTTTCAAAATAACATCTTTTTTGGATAACATGTAGTTTCCTCCTAATTTACCTTCAGCCCAATGTTCAATATAATTTTTGTAATTTTTAGCAAAATCAGGTTTAAAATTGGGGAACAGTTTTTTAATTAAATCATTAGATGAGTGCGGATAGGCCCTTTGATTAGTGTAAAGATAAATTGGTGGTAAGCCGCTGCTGTGTTCAGGCGACAGTAAAAATACGTTGTCGTTATCAGTAGACACATTCAAGATGTAATTTTTCTTTGTCATTGGAAATATTTTTACTTTAACAGGTGGTGGTGTTGGGTCCGAAGGTTTTGTGAAATGTTTAATTAATTCTGGTTTAATTTCCACTTCTTCTGGAAATTTCGAGCTTGTATTGCAAGTCGTAAATATCAAAAAATGCGTTGATGGACTATTTTTGTTTTGAGTAACATAAGTATACTCCTTTTCCAATAATATTTTTGCATCTTTTAAATTATCGATAGTTTGGGGTGTTTCAGAGATACTTTTACATCTAATAGCAAAAGCAACACATTTATCACTAAAATTTTGTTCTATTATTATATCTCCAAATGTCGGCCAGTTCCTGTTGTTGACTGATATGTTGAAATCTGTTGTATTATCGTCTAAAGCTAACTTTAAACTTAAGTATGACACCAAGGAATAAACGTATGATTCAAGTCTATCAAATGCCAAGTTGTCACTGCGAACTTTGTATTTCTGAAAAAAAAAATGGTCAATAAATATTTAAAATAGTTTGTAAATTTTTATATTAAAAATGCTAGTATTTTTTTGTTGTTGTTAAATCCAAGTTTAATTTTAAAAATTGTATTTTTCACGTTAATTCAAAACTGAATAAAAAGTTTGGAAAAGTAGGGTAGAGTTCTTTAAGTAGGGATGGCGGTTTTTGACAAAACATTGTTTTTCGGTTATACCGTTTTATTTTGCTTTTTACTGCGGTTATAATTGGTCAAAAAAACGGGTTTTGGTTTTTTTAATCCAATAGGTTACAAAGTTACATTTACAATGCACTTTAGTTTGCGATACTTATTTATAAAATAAAATAAAATTTGAATTATGGTTTTGATTGGAATAATTACTTGAGAATAATAATTATGATTGGGATCCAAAATAATACCTAACCTAATCCTAATCACCGTTAAAACCTAATAACTGGTTTTTACTTTAAAAATAAAAAACCGGTTATAGCCGGGACAAAAAACAACCGATAAAACCGGTTATTGCGAAGTAAAAAAAAAATAATCGTATGTATCATACAGTTGTTTACAATTTTCCACCAAGATGCAGGCAGCACTAGCATTTCTCGGAGTTACTGAATACATATAAATTTCCGCCACATACAATTTACAATATGGATGAATCGGGATTTTCTACTGTACCAAACAGGCCTCCTAAAGTTTTCTCTTCTTCTTCTTACGGTACCTTATTCTTAAGAACGTTGGCCATTACATTTGCCCATTTAATCTTATTTGTAGCAGCCCTGAATAGTTCTATGGAGGTCATGTTCGTCCATTGCCGTAGGTTTTTAAGCCAAGAGTTGCGTCTTCTTCCTGGTCCTCTTTTGCTATTGACTTTGCCTTCGATTATAAGTTGGAGCAGTTCATACTTTTAATTTCTTATGATGTGACCAAAATATTGTGTTTTCCGTTCTTTTATTATAAGCATAAGCTCTCTTTCCTTATTCATCCTCCGCAAGACTTCCGCATTTTGTCGTATGGCTCATGTAGGATATTCTGAGCATTTTACGGTAACACCAGAGTTGGAATGCTTGGATCCTTTTTTGTGTTGCTTCTGTCATTGTCCAGGCTTCAACACCATAGAGCAAGGTGGAGAAAACATAGCACTTAAGTATTCTAGTTCTCAATGAGATGCCCAGCTGGCGGTTGCATAGAACTTTTTGCATTTTGTAAAACATTGTACGTGCCTTTTCCAGGCGTATTCTTATCTTTAGTGAATGGTCCCAAGTTTCATCAAGTTACTTCCAAGGTACGTTGTTCTTGTTACTCTTTCCAGATCTGTTCCGTCGACATTGACCTTCACCCTTCTGTTTTGGTGCTTGCTGATGACCATCGTTTTTGTCTTCTTTGTATTCAATTTCATTTCAAGTTCTCTACAGGCTGTCGTTACTCGGTCCATTAAGCGTTGCAGGGCTTCAGCATTATCTGCCAGTATGACAGTGTCATCAGCATATCGCAGGTTATTTATACATTGCCCGTTTATAATTATACCATCCGAGGTGCCTTCCAAAGCTTTCTGAAATATCTTCTCAGAGTAAACATTAAACAGCAAAGGTGATAGGACACATCCCTGTCTTACTCCCTTCTCGATATTGATTTTTCCAGATGTTTCGCTTTTTATTCTGATTTTAGCCTTTTGTTCTTGGTAGAGGTTTGAAATGATCCTTAAGTCTTTATCGTCGATATTACATGACCTTAAAATATCTATTAGTTTATCATGTTTCACCAGGTCAAACGCCTTCTGAAAGTCTATAAAACACAAGTATACATCAGAATCGACATCTTTACATCTTTCAACTAGCACACGTATTGAAAAAAGTGCTTCTCTTGTTCCGAACCCATTCTTAAAAACCAAACTGGAGTTTGACCAGTGTGTTCGTCTAGTTTATTGTATACTCTATTGTGTATTACTCGTAGGAAAAGCTTCAACATATGATTCATCAGGCTAATAATCCTATGGTCTTCACATTTCTTGGAGTTTCTCTTCTTTGGTAGTGGTATAAACACCGATGTCAGCCAATCATTTGGTATTATGCCTGTTTCGTATATTTTGTTAAATATATCTTCCATTACTTTGATGTGTTTGTCTAGTAATATCTTTATTATTTCAATTGGGATATTATCTTCCCCAACAGCTTTTCCGTTCTTTAACTGATTTGCCGCTTTGATAATTTCTTGCTTTGTGATATAAGGTCCAGTCGATGCCTCCTGCATGTAAATGTTCGTCCTCTAGTTTTCTCTACAAAAGGAAAAAGGTGTGTCAATAAAATATCTAACGCAGAGCGGGGAACCAATGTTGCTGTTGTATGCACAATGAGTGCTAGTGTACAATAATATTCCTCCCGCATTTATATATCCACCTAAAAGAATGAAGACAGAACTTTTGGACGGAGCTCCACCATCATCAGTTGGAATGGTATCCGACAGTAGTTTATAGTTTCTGGGAGAGAGTTTAAAAAGAAAATCAGATGTAAACCTCAGACCGACAGAGAAGATAAAAAAAAAATATAAAAAGCTGTTTTCACAAAGCCAAAAACAATGCCTCATAAGAAAATTTGGAGCTGTCCAGAGTGCAATGAAACATTTAAAGAACCTATCACAGAATACTGGATTAAGTGCATACATGTGCTGAATGTTGGCATGAAAAGTGCAGTTCCTACGCAGGTTTGTATCTTATAAATGTGACCTATGTTCATAAAATTACGTGCGCAATCTTACAATCCTAAATGCATACTTTTAGTAAGCAGTTTATAAGAGTGCGCAAAAGAACTTTTTTAGTTTCACTTTTTCTATTTAAGTAATAATGTTTAGTTTGCAAATTATAATTGATTTTGTTGTTTGTGTATCAACAGGCTTAAATAAAAATAAATTAACTCTCATCGCAATTGGTTTGGATTTTACACTTGATTAAACCTTAAGTGCGCATTTCTAAAGTACTCTACCCTATTTATATTTTATATTTCAGAAAGTTTCTTTTATAAAAATTGTTTTTATAGAAGTCGACGCAAACCGTACTTAGAAAGGATGAATCCTTTGTTTCTTCTTTCTAAAAGTATGTCTAGCCAGATTCTTACGCCAAAAATACAAGCCACTTCATCGAGTGTTTAAAAGAGGGAACTCTTGAGCCAAGAATTGTATTGTTCAGTTTCGATGTGGTCTCACTTTTGACGAATGTTTCAAAGATATAAACAAGTTAAAGGAACACTAATGGTTCACCACTGTCACCGGTAATGCAAACCTGTCGGTGCAAGAAATAGAACAGCAAGCAATAGAGACAGCCGAACACAAACCCAAACTTTGGCTTATTTACGTGGATGATACTTTTATATCTGGTCACATGGAGAAGAAAAACTAAAGATGTTTTTAGAACAAATCAATAATATTCACCATAAAATTGATAATTGTTAAATATTTGTAGAAACATGTAACAAATACGGCCTAAAACTAAATTGCAAGAAGACAAAAATAATGATCATTAGTAAGAACACCATCATAAACGCACAAATTAAAATTAACGATAAACCGTTAGAAAGAGTGGAAAAATATGCTATTTGGGCTGCAATATTAAAGATACTTGGTATCATAGCTACGAAATAAAAACTTATATTTAAAAAGCCAGAACCTCTTTCAACAGCCTTAGGAAGATTCTCTGCAACTTATCTTTAAGTATCAATATACGCATAAGAATTCTTAGATGTTACGTCTTTAGTGTTCTCCTTTATGGAGTAGAAAGCTGAAGCCTTACAGAAGATGCAGAGAAGGACACAACAGATGGCAAAAAGTCGATTGCAAAAATCAATGGTTTTCCTCAAAACCAAAATTATTCAATGCGTAGTCAAATCGGGAAAGTTTTAACCAAAATATGCGTTGTACCTATTACCATTGAATTAATACGTATATTTAAAATTATCTTACCTTTCTAGAAAATTCTTCTTCCTTTGGTTCATGTACGGTAGCGATCGCATCTAAAATTTTAATTGAAAAAAAATATCATTACTTTCATCTAATATTATCTAAAAATCTTTGATACTGAACTGTTATTTTAGCTTTTCACAAATTTCATAAATATACTTTTAAGATTTGGTAAAATAATGAGAAGATTATAAAAAAAATCAACAAATACAACCGACAATTAGTCTGGTTTTCGTATACTTTCACAAAGTATTAGATACGATAGAAATGAACAGCGTAATGAAAGCTTTGGAGAAAAGTCGCATAGAGTATTGGTACTTCAAACTGATCGCGAATATACATATACAATAATGCAACCATGACCGTAAGACTACACAAAGATACAAACTGATATATAGTAAAATTAGGTAAAAACTGCATTAATGGTCATATTTTAAAATACATTAAAATAACATTAGGGTAGGTATAAATTTGTTACAATATTGCAGTTGAATTCATTCTTTGCCAGTGTTGACATAGTATGTTTGGTGGAAATATTTAAAAATGCCCAGACGTGTGTTAGATGTAGATAGTCTAATTTGTAGTGTACATAAGTATTTTACGGATGAAAAAGAAAATGGCGGTCCTTTAAAATCGGTAATGTCTGTTCAACAACGGGTATGTGATGCTCTAGAAATTAGTGAAACCAAACTAAGAGGAGTATTACAAAATAATGAACGGCCGAAAGAAGATCACAGAAAAACTCGCCTATCATTGAAAACGAAAGATATTCCAGATGGAAAAAAAATTGAAATTCGTGATACCATTTATCGAATGCGAGCCAACTAGGAACATGTGACCTTAAATACAATTCTCTCAGAATTAAAAGATAGAAAATTTGACGAAATTGGCAGAACAAGTCTATGGCAAGTGATACATAATATGGGTTTCAAATTTCAAAAGAAGGACAACAGAAAAGCCCTTTGTGAAAGAAGTTCTGTTGTGCATAAAAGAATTAACTTTCTAAGAAAATATTCTAAATTAAAAGAAGAAAGGGCAAATTTAATATATTTAGACGAAACATGGATATTTTCTAGGGGTGCAACCAAGAGAATATGGCAAGATGATAACGTAAAGTCTATCAAACACACTGATGGAGAAGGGAAGCGACACATAATTTTACATGCAGGAGGGAAATCGGGTTTTATAGAAGGTGCTGATTTAATATTTTCATCTAAATCAAAATCAAGTAACTATCAAGATAATATAAACACAGAAATGTTTGTAAAATGGTTACATGAAATACTTCTCCCAGGTTTAAGTGAGCCCAGCGTAATTATTTTAGACAATGCACCATACCATTGTGAAGTATTAAACAAAAGTCCAACGAATTCTTGGACTGTTAATAAAATGAAAGAATGGTTGACAAAGGAACATATACCATTTACACAACATATTTTAAAATCAGAATTATTACGCTTGGCAAATATCCACGCAAAACCAAAAATCTTTGTTGTGGATCAGATTATTGAAAGTTACGGTCATCAAGTTTTACGTCTGCCACCGTATCATTGCCAGTTTAATCCCATCGAATATATATGGGGAATAGCAAAACAATATTATGACAACCATATTGGGCCTAACGGTTATAGCGACGACGCAGTTCGGGAAACTTGGCGAAAGGCACTTTCAATTGTAACTCCAGAAGTGTGGTGCAACTGTATATTCAAGTGCGAGAAACTAATAGAAGATTGGTTGACTCGTGAAAATAAAATAAACGAAATAAGTCCAATCATAATAATTAATGGTGATGACAGTGATGATGATGACGATTATGATATTTTTGATGATAATGACTGATTTTCATTTTTGTTGGCAAGTTAAATTTTTTTACTTTTCATTAGAAATTTCTCCATGGAACAAATATACATAGACCATATTTTCTGTGTGAAGTGTAATATAAAATTATTATTAGGTTTATATTAGCCACATTAGACTCCATTAATGAAGTAATTCTCCTTATTGTACTGTCAATTATGTAAAAGATTTTCCATTATTATTTAATTAAGAAAAGTTATGGATTATTTTTCATTTCATTTGACCAGTTGATATTTCCCCAAAGAGCAAGTAATTAAAACTGGGTACTTACAATAAAATTTTTAATCCGAAACCCGCGTAAATATGGCGAACTGACTATAATAATCAAAAGAGCAATCAGACAAGAAGAAGTGTTAACTCCTAAACTCTTTACGGCAGTTCTGGAACACGCCTTCAAAAAAATGCAGTGGAATGCCAAAAAAAAACAATGTTGACGGCGAAATTCTCTCTACTTACTACCTGTAATGAAGTTGGTTTAAACATAAATTTTGGAAAGACCCAATACATGAAAGATCTGGTACCAAGCAAAAATCCAAAAGTCGACTGCAACAAAATAGGATTTGTTCATAAATTTAAATACTTTAGTCATGAAATCCAAATTGCCAGGGACAACCAAACTGCTGAACGGCAAAGAAGAGACGTCAGATGTTATAGACCTACGGTGTACCTAAAAAATTACATTAAATTACGAGCAGATAAAATAAGCAGACGTAGACCAAGTACACGATAGGCAGACGGCATCAAAAAAATCACTGGAAATTGGCGCAGGAAGCTTAACCTGTTCCGCTCCATCGTATCCACGTATGGATAATTTTAGGTATGGCGAACTCTACCACGATATCCACATACGGATATTCATACAGGGATATTACTGCACTCTGTAAAAGTGGTGTAGTGCTCTGTAGATTAATTTGAATTACGGTAGGACATTGATATCCATACGGCGATATCATGGTTAGTCATTTTTTTACAAAATTCCCAGAATAATGTAAACAGCTCAAGGTCGACGTTCAGTCTGGGTGGCAACCCAAGCAGCGGCGAAATTTATATTATTTATTTAGTACACTTTTAGGTATTGTTGAGAGAGCACGTGCTCTTTTTATTGCCTGTTCTGTTTATATTTAGATACGTAATTGTGTTTTATAGTAGAAAAATGGATTCGGATCTCGAAAGTGATAGTGATTTGAGCTATGAAATAAATAATAGTGACTTCGAGAGCGATTCAGACAGCAATTATTCATCAACGGATGAGGAAGAAGTCATTGATAAGGTACAAATGAGCGGATGGACAGTCGTTACGGATCCGTTTGATGATAAGCTTCCCAGAGATATACCCGAATTTCGTACTGACTATAACTTTCACCCAGCTATTGACTTTCAAGATTGTATGGAAGCTGTAAACTGTTTTGAGTCATTTGTAAGTAGCAATATTGTTAAAAAACTATGCGAATGGACCGATCAAAGAGCTGATAAATATTTTAATGATAATCCACATACTGCCATGAAAGTTTTTGGTCTGACTTATAAACCAGTGACAACAGAAGAAATGTATGTATTTATCGCACTATATTTTCTTAGTGGATTGACCAAGTGTCCACAAATTTCAGACTATTGGAGTACAGATAATATATGCACTGGTCCTCCATGTTTTCATAAATCTGTTATGAGCCGAAATCGATTTTTGGCAATTCTTAAATTCCTTAGATTTTCACCACCAGAACTTACCAAAAGTAATGCACCGCTTAGCAGACTAGGCATTTTTAATGACTCTTATTAGAGATAATTGTCAAAACTTAGTAGATCCAGGACCAGTTTTCGCAATAGATGAGCAACTTATGTTGTATAAAGGTCGACTCCATTTTCGACAGTTCATAAAAAGCAAAAGAAGTCGATTTGGCATCAAAATATTTTCCTTATGTCCCAGTGCGCTTGAACTTCGAGGATACACATGGAATTTTTGTATATATATCGGCAAAGATATATATGACATATCGCACATTTCAGGAACAGAAAACCTTTCTTTTTCCGAGAAAATAGTAGTTTATCTTTGCCAAAACCTACTGAACAGTAATCGTGAAGTGATTTTTAGATAATTGGTATACATCAGTTCGTCTTTGCGAGTTTTCTATTGACCACAACAGACTTTCCTTACAGGCACTATTCGACCAAATAGGGGCGTTCCAAAAGAATTAACATTGGTTCCATTAGATAGGCAACAATCATGTTTTGTTCGCAAGAATAATGCTCCTGCTAGTTCGCTACAAGGACAACAATGAAGTTTATCTGCTTACCAGTAAACATACTGCAGGATTTTGCGAAAGACAACGATATGTTGTAGGAGGAAATATTCGCTATTATAACAAAACGAAACATGTACAATTCTACCATCAAAATATGGGATCAGTTGATGCAGTAGACCAAGATGTTGAACCGTACAGTCCTTTGCGGAAGTCCTACACGTGGTTCACCAAAATAGGTTTGCACCTTTTACATCTTATGCTATTGAACTCCAGAGTATTTTACAGCCAAGCCCATCAAAAACAAGTTTCAATGTATAAATATACAAAACTCTGCTGCCGGGGCTACTTCTAAAATATAGTAAAGGATATCAAGAAATGAATAAAAAAAATCAACCTACTACATCACGGAAACCGTTGCATGCAATGGCCGATTTTCCAAAAGAAATTGGAAAAAAGAGGGCTCTACGAAAAATTTGTGTAATTTGTAAAAGACGCAGAGTGCGTAAACTAACGAGAAAATGTTGCATTGCTTGTCCGGACAAGCCTGGACTTTGCTCAGCGGAACATTTTGAAAGTTTTCATAAGTAATAAAAATAATGTTCTTTTATTTTTTGCTTTGTTCTGAATATAATTAAATTGTTCACTGTCTTTTTATATATGTTTTATTTTTATTTAGCGTGCCTTTATAAATTAAATAATAGACATAGATACATTTTAATGGTATCCAGATGTGGATATTTTGGTAGTACAATCGATATCCAAGAGTGGATATACTGGTACACCCAAATATCCTTATGTGGATATTCTGGTAAACACTATAAATTGTCATATAAATTCAAATTGCTTTAAACATTTTTTTGGCCCCCATAGGTCAATATCTCTTCTATTATACATCATAACTATCGTAAAATGTATTTTCATTAAAAAACTTTTGCTGGTATACAGCTCCCTATCTCAAAAAAACGGCCTGGAGCGGAAGGGGTTAAGACCAACAGAACTGGAAGAAATTAGGGGACGCTTATATTCAAAGTTGAACGCAGAAGGCTAAATCATGATGATCATAATATTACTGTATTCTTGCAGCTTTTACTTTTTTTGTGTCAGCGGAACAGGATTTTGAACATAGAAAATCAATACACTGACAAATCTATCTTTTAAAAATTGTAGATAGGGGAAAGTTTTAACTTGACGTTATCATAAAGTAAGCAGCATATATTCAACGCAAATTCAGTAACTTCGTGATGATTAAATTATAAAAATGAATTTCCTATTTAGTTATTCTGACAGGTCCTTATTAAAATAATGTTGTCTTTATATACATCGGTCAGTCTGTGTGATCACCCTTGAAGGATATGTCGTAGAGTCTTGAAATCTGACACAAAGTTTTCTTTTGGTGTAAGAAAGAAAACTGTCGACTTTGGATCAACAGGTCTTCTTCATTTTATATTATTAAGTTTTTATTTTCTTGATGCAAAAATCCTAGATTTTTTAATCTTGATGCATATGATTCTCTTGATCCATAAAAACCCTATTAAAGTTTTGGTTAAAATCAGCCATTATACTAGGGTTTCGGTTCCGATTTTTGAGAATATAAAACGAAGTTCATATATGTGCTGATGGTTGTGCATACCAAAATAAAAATCACACATAAGTTCAGACAAATTTTGCACTATTTTTTCAAGAGGACACTAAGAGGACACTCATTCCTTCTATGCGGCAGATATTTTGGTGTAGTTAAAAGGCTTATTCGTAAGTATGACCGAATTTTTCTTCCTGGAGAATATTACGACCTAATAGAAAAATTCCCTCTCTTCTGAATACAAAAACAAAACGCGAGCAGTTTAGACTTTATTAGTTGCTGGCCCAAGTACTACAAGAAAACAATATTATCTCTTGACTCATATGGAAAAAAAGCAAAAGATCACAAAACGACTTTTCAAATTTTTTTTCAAAATAAAGAAAAAAGAAAAGAGTTTAAAATAGCTGTGAAAGCAGAAAAAGAAAGGTCATGTATATGGCGCATTAAAACAGCTCAAAAGAAAAGAAACACATGATGCCGAATATAAAAGACAAGAATGGAAACTTAATAACAGAAGAAAATAAAAAAATAGAAAGATGGAGAGAACATTTCAAAGAGCTAACTCATACAGACGTAGACAACATAGTGGAAATACAAGAAATAAATGAAGAACAAAAAGTAGAACCCATAACAACAGAGGAACTAGAAAAGGCAATTGAAAGAGTTAAATTAGGCAAAGCACCAGGCAAGGATCATATCACCCCAGAAATGATAAAATTCATGGGAATAGAGGGAGTGGACAGCATGAAAGAAATAATGAATGATATCATAAAGAGACCAGAAATACCACAGGACTGCAAGAAAGACATTATAGTACTATAATACCAATACACAAAAAGGGCGACAAGAGAAACTGTAATAACAAATCGAGGTATTACTATATCAAGTATTCGTGGAAAGGTATTTGAAAGAATAATAGAAACAAGAATAAAAACCCAAATAGAACCAACTATGGAAGATACACAATGTGGATACAGAAAGGACAGAAGCACGCAAGACCACATAATCACAATAAGACAAGTAAGTGAGAAAGTAATCAATAAAAATAGAGAAATACATATATGCTTTCTTGATCTGGAAAAGGCGTTTAACACAATCCAAAGAAAGGACGTATGGAGGACATTAAAGGAAAGAGGAGTTGACAGGATAAAATAGTTGATAGAATAAAAGGATATGTACAATAATAATACAAATACAGTGAGAACCAATAACGAGGAATCTGAAGAATTTACTACAAGTCAAGGCGTCAAACAGGGATGCGTGTTGAGCCCACTACTGTTCTCAGTGATACTGGATGAAGCAATAGAGAAAGTCAAGAGAAGAATGAGAAAACTAACATTAGGATACTGGCAAATGAAACAGACTCAACTATCAGAGCTTCTATTTGCAGACGACATGGTTTTGATAACAGAAAACAGAGAAGACCCACAGAACAACCTTGAAATCCTAGAGAAGAACTGTCAAACATAAATATGAAGATAAATACAGAGAAAACAAAAACAATTAATTACAAAAAAAATAAACAATTTGAAGAAACTTGTGCAGTATATACCAGAAGATAAAATATTTTTTTTATAAGGAGTTGATGGCCTACCACCCATAATGATAAGTCATTAGGAGAAGATTACTAATATACTAATTACAAATCTTTAAACTTTTAAATGTGTTTTTCAAGCAATATATTATTCCATTAATAATGCTTGAGTTTTATTAATCATATTAATAATAATTCATAAAATTACAATTATTTGTTTGAAAAAAGCCATACATCCAAAAACATTCCTTTTCTCACAGTACACCTGATTTTTTTATGTTCTTCTGCTTATCAAAATTTGCACACTTATCACAATAATTAAAAACTGCTCAAGCGATAATTAATTGCTATTCTAACTAATACAAGAAACTTTCATTCAAATAGAAAGTGTGACAACATTGCAATATCCTTCTACTATACAAGTATACAACATAAACAATTACCGGTTTATTATGCATGGTTGTAATTATATATAGCCTTGTGAATTCATATTTACTTTTTCCTTGAATCAGGTATTTTACTTAAATCGTTTGTTATAATTCTCAGAATGAGAGTTGTGCAAAATGTGTTATTATTTTTTAACGATCAACTGGATTTTCATTTTAACGTTATCAGGTACATTTTTACAAAAATAGATGTTCTTATCGTATTATGTATCAATTGTACTTTATCAATTTAATATGAAAATTTTTAAATGTGTTATTTCTACCTAATGTTTATGACTTTATGTTGAAATACATATTCGACATAAAAATATAATGTGTATAAAGTGGCAGTGATTTTTTAATATCGAAATCATTTTCCAGACACTACTACTGTTTATGGCTTATATTTTTAATGACAACCGATTTTTCTAATAAGTAATTCGTTTAACCGAGGCATAATTAAGTGATGAAATAAATATTATTAATAAATATAAGCATAAATAAATAAAATAGTTTCTACTTCAAAATGCGTACATACTTCGGAATTATAGAAGAATTCTATTAGGGTAAGGGGCGCCAATGTTGCGTCTTTGTACATAGAGACCTTATAGATAAGATAGGATCTAAGATAGAAAGAGATATCTGGGTTCAAAGCTTCAAGATTGTCTTTACCGAATTGAAAGGGAAAAAAGACCTACCCTACCACTTGCGCGAGGAGAAGAAACTCCGTTTAATACGGCAACTCTTTCCTCAGATAGAAGATAGGCGTAAAAGGGTTAGTGGTTTCGTAGAGGCGGAACCTTTTACTGAGTTGGAACTCGACGAGGCTGTTGGAGGTACCTGGCATAGATGGAGTCATGCCAGAGACAGTAAGACTCGCCGCTCTAAGATACCCGCAGATTTTCCTGAGATTACTAAACAAACTGCTTGAACAACAGCAGATTTCAATACTGTTGAAAGACGCTAAGGTTGTCTTAATTCCAAAAGGTAGAGGTGAAGAGAAAGCCAGCAAGGATTTCGGCCAATTTTCTTCTTAGTTCGATAGCTAAGTTGTACGAGGAAGCTTGTGAAAGGCCGCCTTGAGCGAGATCTGGAAAAAAGCATGCGCTGATCGACCGCCAACATAGTTTAGGGCCAATAGGTCACCATATTCCAGGTGGACCATTAGAGACCCAGGTAGCACTAAAAGAAGGGTGCTAAATGAAGTTATCCAATCGATGGTAACCTACGCTGCCCTCATGTGGTGTAACGCACTAAATACTACGAAATGCGCCAAACAGATGGAGACTTTGCAAAGCCGAATGCTCCTCAGAGTATCTTGCGCATATAGGACGGTTTCAAATAAGGCTCTGTAGGTCATTGGAGCGGTGATACCGATCGTTTTGTTGTGCAAAGAGCGAGTGAGGGTGTATGCGAGGAGCATGGATGGAAATATAGATGAGAATGAGAGAGAAAGATGATAGTGGAGCGACAGAGAGAATGGGAGAATAAGAGCGGAAAGGCAAGGTGGACAAAGAAGCTTATTCTCGATCTGACGCCGTGGTGGTATTGTAAGGTTAGGAAACTAGATTACTTCCTGACGCAGTTTCTGACTGGACATGGTAGTTTTGACACATTCACAAAACCACAAAACGAATAGGCAAATCTGCCTCGGCAGACGCTCTTGTCCACATTTTTAACTGCCAGAGATTGGCAAATGAGAGAGGAGACTTCGAGAGGCAATGGGTTTTAGGCTGGATAAAAGAAACGTGGTAACCATAATGTTGGAAGGAGAAGAAAAAAATGAATGAAAGTATACTTCTGATTTCTGGGATAATAAAGAAGAAGAAGCAGGATAACAGAAGAAGGAAATGAACCATAGATCTGAAATTTATTATTATTATTTATTAGTTTATGGCCAAACGGAAATATTTTCTGATTTACGGTGATAGCTATAGTTATTTGTAAGTTTTTAGTTTTTCATTTTAGTTGTTCATGCAAAAGCGGCAGGACCACTCCTCTGGAACGGTGGTTAAGGATTTAGCCGGAAAACGGTTCATCCGGCACTACCCTGGGGTCTTCTGTCGTAGTATTCTACTCGGCCGAAAGATGCCAGGGTGTCTTGCTCCATGACGTCAGATGTCTAAAAAATTTATTCCCCATCGTTGCCTGCCAGAATTCAATTTCTCACTATCACTTACTATCAATATTAACTATCACGCAGATAATGTCCAGTTAGTCTTAATGAAAAAAAAAGAAAATAATCACGTAAAGAAGTTCTATATGCTCAAGAAATATTTTCGCTTGGAGCTTCATCTTGTGAGCTGTTAAGTATTCTACTCTGTTCTCTGTTGAAGTCATCCTCTACACAATAAATTTGTCGATCCCTAAATAATTCCCTAGCGACTCACCAATGTTTCTTGTCACAGAGTCTTTGTACAGCTTAATATTTAACCACCAAACTAGGTCTCTTTATGTGGCGATAGGTCTTATAATACATAAAAAAAAGCAGCTTACTCTTTACCTCACATGCCAGCAAAATATTGCTGCATGTAATCAATGAGACTGAAAGGTTTCCTATAAAGGAAAATACCCATAGGGTAAACTGAATTTACGAACGGTAGATGTACTGAGAGGACGATCCATAACAAGATAGATCGACAAAATTACAGGAATAGTAATGCATGAATTAAAAGAAAAGACCAGACATGGAAATCTTTGGAGACGGACAATAAGTGGCATCATATTTTTGTCTTTTGGGTTTTAAAATGTGATAAAATATTAGATTTTCAGAGTTCCTGTTTTTACAATTTGAACGCATTCCAGTGTTTTTCACTATCTTAGCAGTTAAGTTTAGAGGTTACCTCTGTCCATTAGTGAATATGTAGAGCTATGATTTCGTTCTCAATACTTGGAGGAGATACCTTCCTAATAGGTTTTAATAAGTAGGTGACTTTTCTATTGACATTTTGACCAGATAAATTTTGGAAGAACTGGTGTTTGGCAATTTATGTGTTACATTAACATACCGTGTAAAATTGTAAAATCTAATTATGACCATTATGACAGCCTATGATTAAATTCAACAAAACACAATGATTTTACATTTTTAATTTCTGTATTTTAAAATGTTGTAACGTAACTTTCAAACCAAAGAAATTTATTTTTCAAGTAAAATATATACATCAATATATGTACACATATATTATTAAAACTTTCTTACCGTCAAGTTCGGAAGGGGAAATAGTAGAGTCAATAATTGACATTGATCGTAGCTGCCATACTGGTTTATTTTTCTTCTTATCTTCTGGAAACAAATAATATGGTTAATAATAGAGGTATTGGTAAATCTCAAAGAATGAAAAGATGTATTTTTTTAAATGTGTAGTTTATTTCCTAGCTAAGCGCTTTTGGCATACAAAGCCATCCTCATTGCTATGGTCAAGGTTTAAAAAGTACCACTAATTAGTAGAGATCCCATTTTGGTAAAAAAATCCACAATTTTTTTTTAAGAAAGGCTAAATTACTTCTTTCAAGAACACGAAAGACAGAACATTGAACTCTACAAAAAACGCAATACAAAATTTTTTTACGACACGGGTGTAAGAACCCAACAACCTTAACAACAAGGAAAAAGATGTATTGAAGAGATGAGTAGAATACTTTAGCCAAGCACTTAATACAGAGGAAGAAGAAGAATACCTGGAAAGACGAAAGAGATGAGGTGGGAGGAATAGACGAGAGGGAAGGGGAACCACCAACGATTCTTAAAGTTAGGATATTTCGAAAGAAAAGTACTAAGGCGAATCTATGAAGCAGTGAATGATAATGGAGTGTGAAGAAAACGATACAACTTCGAACTTAATAGAATATACCAGAAACTAGATATCGTAAAACATATTAAGATGGGACGTCAAAGGTAAATAGGGCATGTATTGCGGATGGAACAAAGTGACCCAGCTGGAAAAATGCTCCTTGATAGACCCATTGGTCAGTCATCAATGATGATGATGATGTCAGAACCCGACCATTTAGTTGAAGTTGAGGCCGTTGCGAAGTTATTTGTATAACTCTTTTTTTAACTAATTATTTTTTTTTAATATACATAGGTACCTATATAACTTATTTATTAGACTTTTCAATTTGTTTGTATAAATACCAGAATACCAGAAGGTGTTTTAAAATAAGACAACAATTATTTTGCAGTAAAAAAACTCATGGAAATTCAGTCGGTATAGAAAAACAACTTTAAAAATTATGTAAATTTTAAGTGGTGCATTAATTTATATGAATATATATATAATATAATATATATATAATATATATATATAGTAAACTCCTAAATATTGGGGAAATCTGCAAGAAAAACTCTAATGTGTATCAATTGTTTCGCCGAACGTTTTCGCCAAAGAAAATTAATTTGTTTCTTCAGGGCTGAAAGAGAATAAATTATAATTAGCTACCATATATTATCTTAAAAAACATTTATCTTAGACTTTACCGTAACTTTTAGAAATGTCGAGTTAGGATGTAAAAAAACTTAGCTAGTAACAACATAGTGTGTTTTTTGTTACTGTGTGCAAAAAAGTTTTTTAACGTTGGAAATGTATGGGTAGCTTGAACTTAAAACGCAAAGTTTACTCAAGGTTAATCGAAAAACCCAATGTAACTACATTTAAAAGGAAGTAATTCTTTGAATTGTCGGCAATAACTAAATTTTTGATTGTTATAAAGTTTATAATAATACATGAAAAATATACTAATTAAAAAAGAATTTCAATTAAGAAAATTTTTAAAATAGTATCTCCCCAAACTGGGATTTAACTTAATCGATTTTACCAATGAACATTAACGACATAAATGTTCAAAAATACTACTTGTAATTGTCAGCGCTTGCATTCTGAGAAAACAGAACCTCACATTTAAAATTTATAACAATCAAAAATTTAGTTATTGCCGACAATTGAAAGAATTACTTTCTTTTAAATGTAGTTACGTTGGGTTTTTCGATTAACCTTGGGTAAATCTTTGCGTTTTAAGTTCAAAGCTACCATACATTTCCAACGTTAAAAAAAAACTTTCTTGCACATACTAACAAAAAACACCACTATGTTGTTACTAGCTAAGTTTTTTACATCCTAACTCGACATTTCTAAAAGTTACGGTAAGATAAATGTTTTTTATTACATAATATATGGTAGCTAAATTATAATTTATTCTCTTTCAGCCCTGAAGAAGCCAAATTAATTTCTTTGGCGAAAACGTTCGGCGAAACAATTAATACACATTAGAGTTTCTCTTGCAGATTTCCCCAATATTTAAGAGTTTACTATTTAACTTATCTGCAGAGATTAAATTTCTTTTCTATATATATATATATATATATATATATATATATATATATAATATATATATAATATATATATATATATCCTAGAGAAGCAGATGTCACATGTAGTCTACAGCATTCCATGCAAAAACTGCAATAAAAATACATAGGCCACACAGAAAGGGCATCTAAAAAATCGCATAATTTCACACAAAAGCGACTGCAGACTACATCATGACCGTTACTCATTAGCGCTTCATGTAGTAAATGAAGGACATCAGATGGACTTTGAGTCAGTAGAGGTTCTAGAAAGAGAAACCAATTACAAGAAACGTCTATTCCTAGAAATGGCTTGTATAGCACAAACAGAAAACAACATAAATAAAAAAACAGACATTAACCACCTCAGTGAAATCTACTCCTTTCTTCTAGCAGTAGACAAACAACATATGAAATTCAATAATTCAATAGTTTCCATTTTAGAATAAATTTAACGCCATTTTATCACATAGTTTAACAATAGTCTCTTAAAGTAAAAAATAAAAAAATCATACAGCACTTTATCAATTTATAATAATTAACATTTCATATCAAAACTTAAATACAAAAGTACTTTATTAATCTTCAACCTTTACAAAATAACTAGGTCTTGGAATCAACCAAGATCTATTTATTACACTCTTGTTACAGTGATCTTCAATCATGTTAACAATTTAAAATTTTTTTTTCTTAAAATATCTCCTACCTTAGATTCTATTCTAATACAGGTACAGACAACCAATAAGGCAAGGGACACTAAAGTCTCCCCTCTACTTTATCATCTAAGAGAGAAGAAGATTTTAGAGGTTAGTGTCTTCCAACCTACAATCAACCACGTTGTTTCATTTTACATGATACTCTGTACAGGTTAATAAGAAATAAGAATATATAAGATGTTAAACTCTCGAGAGAGGACATTCGGTCCTTACACACAATTAGTTAAAATTGTGCATTGTCTTTGTACCAGTCTTAATGAATTTTACATTACATGTTTTTTCTGTTTTTCTTTTTGTGGAGAAAAACTTATACAATTTTTTTCACAAAATTTTATAAATTTGAACAGCTTTTACGGCACCATTCCTCAAAATCGTAAGTAAGATCAACGTATTTATAACAGATTGTCAATTTTCATGTAAACGAATTGTAGCTTATCCCTGATGATGTTGATAACTACCAACGAAATATTGGATCAATAAAGGACTAAAGAGTACACTTAGCCTATCCTTTCAGCTGTTTTTACCCAAAGAGTCTAACTTGGTTTATTTTATAATTTTATTAATTTTATATATAATATATATATATATATATATATATATATATATATATATATATACTTTCTATTATATGCTAAGTAACCAGAACGAAATAAACTTAACTTTATGTTAGATAACAAATCTGTTTGAGTGCTTGATAATAAACCCATGTTTAAAAGGTGCCTCTTTAAGGTTCTTAAAAATCTCGTTTCGTAATGGGATTTTCAAGAATTCTCTTAGAAAGAGTTTGATAAGTTGACCTATTTTAAGGTAATTAATAAATTGATATTTACAAATAAAATATAATATATTAGTGATACCAACCTTCGATTTTGTGTAAATGTTTTTCGACTTCCTTCTTGTGTGATTTACTTTCAACATGTCTTCGCAAGAATTCTTCACTGGTCAAGGTCTTGTTGCAGTCCTTACAATTGTATTCGTTATGGGCTAAAAATATAATCAAAATATTATTTCACGATATTTAGTACCTGCACAATAAAAAATCACTTAAGTGTACACTGTTGACCACAAAAAAAAAACGAACATTTAGTTTAACTGCGTTCGTTTTTAATTTTGCCATCGATTACACAGTGCTGCAATTTAAAAAAAATTGATCGACGACTTGAAGTGAAAGGTGTTTTAGAACTTATTTATCATTCGTTAGAGGAAGTTATCATCCTCTATTAGTTTCCATTTCCATTTAAATTAAAATTAACATTTATTTCCAGTTTTCATTGGCCTCGGCCATTTAGAAGTTACTCTTTTATTCTTCTCGCTTTCATATCCCTGTCGTGTTCTTCCCTACAACTTATCGTCGCCTGCTCTTCTTTCGTCTTTTCTAAGGTGTCTAGTTAATACTTTTTTGAAATTTTACTGTCATTCATTCTTTGTACGTGTTCGTACCTTATTATTTGGGTAATTCTGATGTACTATATTATTCTATAAGTTTAACGCCCGTGATCTCTTGAATTATCTTGTTTCTTACTCTGTCGAATCTTGATTTACCGGCCACTCTTCTCCAATAATATATTTCTGTTGCTTCCAAAGTCTTTATAGCTTTTTCATACAGTGGCCATATTGCGCTTCGATATGCAACAGTGCTATCATAGAGTATGTGTATACTTTCTCCAAAAATTGTTTTATTCCACAATATGCTGATCAATTGACTTCTCTTTCCTGGTTATTTGTGTTCTTTATCTAAATTGCCGTCATTGGCTATGTCTTCTTCTTCTCATGGCACCATCTTCTTTCGAAGGTTGGCGATCCAAATGGCAATTTTGGTTTTGGAAACTGCTGCGCGAAAGATTTCTGCGGATGACGTGTCGAACCATCTCCTTAGGTCTTTCAGCCATGAGTTCTGGCGTCTTCCAACTGATATTTGCCCTGTACTTTTCTTTCAGTATAACTTGAAGTAATTAATATTTTTCGCCTCTCAACACATGACCCAAGTATTGCACTTTCCTCTATTTGACTATTGTTAGTAATTCTTTTTGTTTACACATTCGACGAAGTACTTCAACATTAGTAACACTTTGTACCCATGTAATTCTCAACATTCGTCTGCATATATACATCTCAAAGGCATATATTCTTTTTTTTATTTCAGAGTCCATTGTCCAACTTTCACAGCCATACAATAAGACAGAAAAAACGTAACATCTAATCATTCGGATTCTAAGCTGCAGACTAAGGTCTGACCTTGTAAAAATGTTTTCATGCTCATGAATGTTTTCCTTGCTTGTTCGATTCTTGATAGTATTTCTTTTTTTGAATTACACTGACTATTGACATTTGCTCCCAAATATTTTATGGAATTTACCTGTTCTATCATTTGACTCTTGGCATACACATGTACGTTTATTGGTGTTTTTGAAAATACTAAAGTTTTAGTTTTGGAAACGTTTAGATGTAAACCAAACATTTCGCTGTGGTGAACTACCGCATTTATTATATTTTGTAGTTCTTGTGCGTTGCTTGCTATTAAGACAGTATCATCAGCATATCTGATGTTGTTTCTGTTGATTCCGTTAATCTTAATGCCGCCTTGGACCTGGTCTAATGCTTCTCTGAATATAGACTCCGAATACAAATTAAACAGTAGCGGTGATAAGACGCAACCCTGTCTCACTCCTCGTCGGATTTGTATATCTTCGGATAATGTGTGCTCTATTTCAATTGTTGCCGTTTGGTGCCAGTATAGTTCTGAGATAATTCGCAAGTCTTGTTCGTCAACTGGTTATGTCTATTCCTAGATATTTATACATTTTATAGTGATTTATTTATTGGTGTTGCTTTTTCAAAATAAGATTTTGTTGTTCTCCTATCATACACATGTATTCTGTTTTTTTATATTTACTTCTAAGCCCAATTTTTGATATTCCTAAATAAGTTTGCTTGCCACATATTTTAGATCTTCGTAGTCCTAAGCTAAGACCATTTGGTCATATGCAAAGAAAGTGTGTACCATGTGGTGTCGTTTAGATGGATTTCCATACCACTACAATTTCTTTTCCACGTTTCCAGCGCTTGCTCTAAGTAGATCTTAAACAAAGTCGGGGACAGACAGCATCCTTGCTTGAGTCCTCTGTCTACCACAAACCTTTTAGGTATCTCTTGGCCTCAAAATTAGCAAAAATTAACATTTTCGTAGTTATTAAATTGTACACTTAAAAGTTCAGCAAGAAAAGAAGCGAAACTATTATTTAGAAAATCATTCAGAAACAATGTTGACCTACTTAAAATTAATTTTTAATTTATATTTAAATATTATTAATTTTAAATTCACATATTCCATTATTTTTTGGTTTAGCAGTACATTTCTATATTATCTACTTGAAAAACACTTACCCTCCGGCTCAGTTAATTTTCTTTGGTTAAGTTTATGCTTTCTACTCTTGATATGTTTCTCCAAGTCATTTACATGTATATATTTTATACCACAGAGATCACAATTTCGTCTGTCAGGATCATCTAGAAACATATTTATACATATACAAAATATACGAAATAGTAGTAACATGTAAAGAATACTATATAAGAAATAACTATGAAATAAAGAAGTAGCGTATTTTTAACTAAATTATCCGGATGGGACAGATCTCTCCCGTCCGTCTAGCCTCCAAAAAAACCAAGTCTATTGATCTAGGCATAAGTAAATATCTTGTACGAAATAGCTTATCTCTCAAGCACCAGTTAAGTGAATATTTGCATCATATTAAGGTAGATAAAATATAAGTGGGATATCTAAAATTCTGATAAGAGTTCTACTACCTCCAAAAAAAGAAATGTAGACAGTTTTTGTAGAAAGTGAAGAATATAATTGTTGATGAACAATAATTTCTGTCTGCTCCACTTGTCTTGTTGAAGTTATTTTCTTCATACCTACTTCTACTTCTAAATACACTTGATTGGTTTTAAATACTAATTGTAATATCAGTATAATAATTGATTGTCGCAGTCATTTATGTGCCTCCTATATTTAGAATACCAATGGTGGGCCACGTCTAGAACACGAAGGGAAGTGCTGCTGATAATAATTTTTATTAATTAATACACTTAGAGATCGTATTCAAATGTAACCTTCAAGTAATATTTGAAGACATACCCCAATATGCATTGAAATTGTGATTGAGTCCATGTATCCATAAATAGGACCGTATATATTAAATGATACAATTAAGTTTCGCGAAGAATGTACACGGTATTGAAAGTTAGCGAAATATTGTTTATTTTTTCCGTTCAATTATTTATTTTCGTGTAAATTAGACTTTTCACCCTAAATATTTGCATTCTATATCACCAATAAACGGTTCTTTATTCTAATCATAATTATCATCAATCATCCCTTTGCGTCCGCTGCTGGACATAGGCCTCCGTCATTTTTGTTCATTGTGCTTCATCTTGGGCACTTTTCATCCAATTTCTTGAAATTTTGTTCAGATTGTCAGTTCAACGAGCAGGAAGTCTTCCCCTACTTCTTTTTGTCTAACCTCCGCCTCCCTTTAAGAAATCTCTTTGTCTACCTTTTATCACTGATTCGGGCGACGTGTCAGGCCTAGTTCCATTTTAGTGTGTCAATTCGGGAAATTACATCGGTAACGCCTATTCTTCAATAAGTCTTCATTTCTAACTCATTCACGAAACGATATACTCAGCATTGACTTTTTCCTTGTCCTCTAAGCTATTTGCAGGGTTTTAGAAGTTGTAGCTGTCAATGTCAAATTTTTGACACCAGAGATTATCACAGGCAACATACTTTAGTCAAATATTTAACGTTTTAAAGAAATTGGTATATCGCTTTTAAAGATGTCTTTGAGTTTTCCATATGCTGCCCATGCTAGGTTTATTCTTCTTCGTAGTTCGCATGTTTGGTTGTCTCTTGAGATCCTTATTTCGTGTCCAAGGTATACGTATTTTTCCACCATCTCTACTTCGTTGTCTCCAATATTGATATTTCTGCTAGATACTAGTTTGTCATGAATTATGTTTTAAGTATGTTTATTTTAAGACCCACACTGGCACACAATAATTGAAGTTCATGTAGCATTGTACATATCTCCTTGAGGTTGTCCGATAACAAAAGTATGTCGTGTGCAAATTTCAAATTTGTTATTCTTCTACCATCAATGTTCAGGCCTTTCTCTTCCCAGTTAAGTTTTTTACAAGCATATTCTAGTACGTATATAAGTATTCTACGTATCGACATAGTTGCGTTCTTATATGTAATGTAAATTAACCTTGTATATCAGTAGTCAATGAGGCCAGAACGAGTGGTCGATTTGTTCCAAATGCAATACTAAATCCCGCTTGCTCTATTGGCTGGTAGAAATCAAGTATTTTCTTAAGGCGATTCGTTACTATGCTTGTAAGGAGTTTGTATAGGTGACTAAGAAGACTTACAGGTCTTGTAGTTTTCTAATTTATGGGGATCTTCGTTTCTGTACAATAGAATTACCTTAGCATTATGTCATTTGTCGGGTATATTACTGTCCAAAAGGCACATGTTTAAAAGGTTTTTTATTTTTTTAAGTAGGCAAGTGCCTCTGGTTTTCATTGCATCAGTAACTACACAATTTTCGCCTGCACATTTCGTCTATTCTGATTTTCGGTAGTAGTTCTGATTCTTGGTCGGTAATGCCCTTTTTCCTTATTAATATTTCTGGTACTTGATCTTCCTTGCTATTTTCTTTGTGTTGGCTTGTGTACAGCAATTTGTAGAAGACTTTAACTATTTTAAGGGTTTCCTTTCTGTTGGTTGTAAGATGACCATTTCTATCTTTAATCTTTATTATCTGCCTGTAGTCGTTATTAGTCTTTTTCTCAATACTCTTATACTTCTATTGTTCTCAATGGTATCTTCGATTTGTTCTATGTTGTACGTCTAGTCTAAGAACTTTGGATATTTCTTTATTTAATTTTTGTAGTTCGTCGGCTTTGTTTCCGTCTCGCTTCTTATTTCTCTTCTTTTCTACATTAGTTGCCTAGTATTTTAGCTAATCTTCCCTTCTTTTTGAGTTCTAGGACAGAATTTATTTAGACTTTCCAGTAAGGCATCTACTAATTTAATTTATTATTTAACTTGGTTATATTATTTTCAGGACTACTACTATATTAGTTTCAGGACTACTAAGTATGTGGGAAATTTTACATTTCTGAAAACTATCTACACCTGATGGTTTCATCCATGGTTTTGATTTGTTCTTCTTCTTAATCATCTCATACTTCTCCTTCTTGAAGCTTATTTCTATTTTACCTTTTTTTTTATTTCTATTTTACCTTTTTACCTTTAATCTAGTAACCTGGTTAAATATAATCGTTCCTGAAATATTTGAGTTTAACTTTTAACTAGTATTTAGATACTTTTTTTACCTATTTTGAATATAAAGAAAACATAAACATGAAACAAGCGGAGGTGTAATGCCAGCACAATAGGAGCGAAGATGTAAAATGAATTACAAGAGCGAGGTGAAGCAGGTTAGTGGTGGCTTATGTCCAGCAGTGGATTCAAAACAAGGTTTTATATGTATGTTGAAATATAATATTTTTAAAATTATGTCTAAAATTATTTACTCTTTCATATCTTTAAGACTCTACAACACCTTTTAGACATAGTTAACTTGGTTAACCAAAAAATAATTTTTTTTGCTACACCACTGACTGTTCTAAGAATACACAAAATATCAAGTATTTTGTTTGTTTTTTTGTCGAAGTACAAACCTTAATTCATAATAATAGAACTAACAAATCTTTAAATCAACTCCTTATCTTCAAACTATCGATTAAACATAAATGTTGAGATAAATTATTTTAAATATAAATTGAGAAGTTTATACAACACAGTTTAAAGATAACGATATCACTTTAGAGACTAACGGAAATGGTAAATGAATCATATAATTTTTATGGTAAAATAACTTTTTAACGATCGATGAAGAAAGTCCTGAAATGCTGAAATGTATAGAAAAAAAAGCAAAAAAATAACTACTAAAATTAAATAAATTAATATGAAAGAGAACTTTAATATGGAAGAGATGAAACTTCTTCCATCAGAAGAAGTTCCATTTTCTTACCATAAAGAAGAAGATTCTAATAATGATAGCTTATGCTCTTTATTTTGAATGTGAAGAATTTAAAATTGGTTAATAAAAGAATGATTATGGTCTAGAAGATGAAGTGCTTAGTAGAATCTGTTTTTCTATTATTCAAAGCCTTTTTGTGCTCTGCTATGAGTTTTTTAAAAATTCTACCAGTTTGACCAATATAAGTTTGTGGCAGTCGCCACTTAAATAAGATTGTATACACCATTGTGTAAGTGCTTTTTCTTTTGGCTCTTGTTGTTCTTTTAATATATTCGCCTAAGTTGTTGTTTAAGAAAAAGTAACCGACCCTATTGAAGCTGGCAGTGAGATAAGACAGGAAGATTGCCCTCTATTGTTCAATCTATATATGGATAAAATAATAAAAAAAAGTAAGAATCAAAAAAGGATAAAAAATAGGAAAAAAACAACTTGAAATAATCTGCTATACAGATGACGCAATACTAATTCTCAAAGTAAAGTGATTTACAACGTATGCTGCGCCCATTTAATATTAAAACCACCAGACAATTTAACATGTTAATTTCCCCAACAAGCAAGATGGTGTTGGAAGGTCAGATAATAGAATAAGTGATAGAGTTTAATGACCAAGGTCATGCGACAGCTCATTTGAAAGGTCTCCTTATCGACTTTGCAACGATGTATAATCCAACAAGCGAGAGCTGGCGGGTGAGCTGCGCGAAAATAAGAAAAGGAATTATTCTAAGAGAGGTAGGAGAGGTGCTTAATCGCGAATTATAGGTATATAGTATAGGTACTAATAAACGGGTATACACGATGTGAACTCCTAGCCGATTGCAATAGAAATGAGCAATCCCTTCCACTTTTCAATTTGTTCTACACGCAACCCGCCAGCTCTCGCTTGTCGCGTTATAATCACTTGAAAAATACTGATTCACTGAACTAACATACACTTAGGAACACCGCTGGAAATAAAACAAAATAGTGTTTTTTGCTCGTTCCGAAAAAAAAAACATTGATAACAAACAATGCTACATTCTACTCTGTAATTAATTATTGTAGTAAGTATTTCAAGTTATTTGTCAAAACTATTTAAATCAATATTGTCATTGACTCGTCTTTATGTATTTGTCAATGATCTGCGAATCTGTCAAATAATAGACGTCAAATTTTTACTCTTCGAGTTTTTTTGCTGACATTAATAACAGTATTTACAAAAATGAAACTAAGAGAAACAGAACGAATTGAGATTTTAATCATAATTGGTTATGGAGATAGAACGTATAGATAGCTGAAGTTCGTAATTTATTTAATGCAAATAACCCAATCGCATACCAATTGCTCAATAGTAAGTAAAATTGAAAAAAAAAATTAGAGAAACAGGCCAGGATAAAGATCTTTCCAGAAGTGGTAGAAAATCAATATCGGAAGACAAGAAACTGGACGTTGTACTGGTATTTCAAGAAAATCCCCATACCAGTTCTAGGCAGGTCGCACTAGATAACACTGTTCACCAATCAACTGTTGTAAGAGTGTTAAAAAAGGAGAAGTGGCATCCATACAAACTACATCTAGTCCAGGAGCTATTAGAAGATGGCTTTGATAGAAGAATCGAATTCTACGAAACCGCTATGGAAAATTATAACAGAGTTCAGGGTTTTATACAAAAGGTACTTTTTTCTGATGAAGCGCTTTTACTGCTTGGTCACGTAAATCGCTAGACATATCAATACTGGGCAACTAAAATCCCACATTGGTTGGAAGAGTAAGGACTCAATATCCCGAGAACGTGAATGTTTGGGCTGGCATTATAAGCAATCAAATTGTAGGGCCATATTTTTTTGATGAAAACTTAACTACGTCTCAATATCTAGGATTCTTCAGGATTATCTGTTGCCACAGCTGGATCAGCTGTTTCCAAATAGAAATGATTTGTGGTACCAAGATGGGGCTCCCCCACACTACGGCGTTGAGGTACGAAATTACCTTAACAACGTTTTCTCCAGGTAGGTGGATAGGTAGAAGTAGAAGGGGCCCATCGAATGGCCACCAAGGTCTCCAGATTTGACTCTGTTAGACTTTTTTGTGGGAATATTTAAAGAGCAGAGCAGAGATCACAAAAAAGAATAGTAAAGACCGCAAGAGACCGTTCGCCAATAGGAAATCGATCAGTAGGAAGACCACGAAAACGTTGGAACGACAGCTTACTAGAGGCACATTGAAAAACAGGCAGTCATGTTTACATACAAAGAAGAAGAAGAAGTTTGTTTGTTCTGAAAGCTGATGTCATTCCTTTCATTTTTATGGGTTTGGCTATTTTTGTTAATATCTTGCCTGTAAATTTATATTAAGGTCGAAAATTAATAGACTAGGCCAGCTTACATTTATAATCATGTTTAAGGTTCGCTCAAATAGGGAAATATTTGTCGAAATTGTAGCTAACTTTCTGTCAAGAAGACGGCACAAAAAAGGAATAATATTTACAACAAAACCAGCATTATCCATAAACCAACGAAATTCAGGAGGTCGTCATAATGAGCAGAGAAAAATTAAGATTACTTAAAGTTAAATTAGCACTGCCAAAGTACTTTTAAATGCTTAAAATAAGTAACTTCCTTTATTATTAATGCAATCAAACTGATATTTTAAAAAAATATCCTTGAAAACAACAGATTCATGCAACAATCACATTGACCTTTCGCGACTTGATTAGTAAGATAAACGGAATTCCCAGAGCATGTTTGTTATTCTAAAATGACTTACCAGTTGCCCGCAAGCTCGGGTCGGCAGAAACACTCACGTCCACCATATTTTAACAATTTTGATTAAACTACAAGTGGCCATAAATGAAATAATTGTTTATCGATATAAAAACCAAACAACCTTCATAATTCCGCGCTATGGATTTGACTGACTAATCTTATCTCAAATAATAAAAGAAAACACTTTATTCACGTTATTTATCTTTGTTGGTTATGTGCGGGAATGCTCGAAAAGTTTTATGTTACATTTAGCAGTGCTGTGAGTTGTGTTGTGAAGGTGTTTAATCAAATAGTAAGAATATGAATGATTTCTTCAATATAATATAGTAATATTTTGAATTACACATTACACCACACTTTACTGTTGCAAAATAATTGACTTTTGCGGATGAATCACTAGCTCTTATCGTTGTTTTTATTTCATCTCGTGTGAACCAGTTTATAGAATCGCAAGAAACTACTATTGTGTTGTTGGTTGTTGTGTTGTTGTATATAAACAGTTTATTTTCGTATCCATTCGATGATACAGTGTTGCAAGTGTTAAGGTCATGTCTGATATTTCATTTGCGCAAACGAGATGTATTTTTTATTTATAAACTTCTATTTATAAACTTTTTATTTTTGATTCGACACTCACAAATTGATATTAATATTTTTTTGATACTAAAATAAAAGCAGTAAAAGTTGTATTTTTATATCCTAGACAAGTAGAAAACTAGCATTTCAAAAGTGAAACTATTTTATGGGATGCCTCTAGATCGGAAGCCGCTTTCAACTTTCAAATGATTTTAAGAAGAAACTTGTTTTTTTCCTACACCTCTACGGCTCTCATTTTGGCTTTAAGGATCAGCTGTAATATTTTATATCGACTTCCCCTTACTATATGTAACAGGTAAGACATTTTTCGATGTTTCACAGTCTTTAGCAGTTCTCTATCTTTGTTGACGCTCCTTAGTACTTCTTCATTAGTTTTCCTTGCTGTCCAAGGTATCTTCAGCATTCGTCTATGAACCCACATTTAGAATGCTTCAATTCTGTTTCATGATTGATACTTTTAGCGTCCACACTTCTGCACTATACAAAAGTACGGACCAAACATAGCACTTAACCATTCTTTGCCTTAGGTCTAAACTGAGATGGTTATTGCAAAGAAATGACTTTATTTTCATAAAAGTAGTTTTAGTCATTGCTATTCTACGTTTAATTTCTATGTCTGGATCTAGTTGGCCCGTTATGACAGTTCCCAAATATGTCATTTTGTGAACTTTCTCAACTTGGACTTCGTTTAATTGAAGCTTCGCATCGGGTTGTGGGTCACTACTAAACACTAAAAATTTGGTTTTGTTTGAGTTTATTTTAATGTCCATTTCCTCTCCTACCTCGTGAATACGATCAAGCAGAATGTGAAGACCTTCAATATTATCTGATAGAATTACTGTATCGTCTGCATATCCGATCACATTAAGTAGGTCCCCGTTGATTTTTATTCCATATGGTTGTCTCTCAAGTGGCTTTTTAAATAACTGGTCCGAGTAAACATTGAACAATGTTGGCGACAAAATGACACCTTGTCTGACTCCTCGTTATATAGAGATTTTATCGATGTAGTTATCTCCAATTTTTTGTTTGACAATCCTTGTCATCTATTCCGATATTTTTCAGTATTTGCTTAAATTTTACATTTACTTTATCGAATGACTTTTCGAAGTCCACAAAACATGCAAATACATCTTTTCTTTGATCACGGCATTTTTCTAATAGGATGTTAAGCGCAAAAAGTGCCTCCCTGGTTCTCATATCATTTCTAAAACCAAATTGAGTATCTTCAAGATCTTCTTCGCATTTGCGTCTAATTCTGTTGTGAAGTATTCTGAGGAAAATTTTAAGAGTGTGGCTCATTAGGCTAATTAATCGATATTCTAAGCAAATAGGTAAAGAAATAATAAATAAGACTTACAAATCAATTAATTTAACTATCAGACGACCGGTTTCGCTTTCTACAATATGCAAAGCATCTTCAGGTCTCGATACAAAGTTAAACAAATGCTGAAATGATAAAAACCCATATTAGGGTGTTGTCTAATAAAGATAAACAAATTAGATGTTATAAATTACAATAATTATGCCAATATTACATGTCTGTGGTTTTATTTAAATGATTGAGTTGAAAAAAGGTATAAAAATTTTTTAAGAAGGTTAAACAGACAAGGTAAGGCCCACAAATTGTTATAAAATCTCTTCTATTGTAATAAATTAATAAATGAGCAAATAAATAAATAAAATAAAAATTACTTACATGCCGGTACTCTATTAATAGATGGATGGTAGAACATGTTTGAAACTACTTTATATTGTTGAATGGAGAACTCAATACTATTATTGCAGTTGTTTGACAGTAAACGGGAAGTTCTTGAGGAGATAGATTTGATCCAATGAATTTAAGATATGTGTGAGATTGTTTGTTAAATGTAAGTGATGTAATATACTATTGTGTTATTAAAAGTTATTTATACTTATTCCAGAGATATATTTTTGAAATGTGTGTTATTTATTGAGTAATTGTTTTATGAAGGTGACATTTTATGACAATGAATAAGTGTAGATGTAAAAACTGTGTGGGTGTTTTCAGTATTTGCTTAAATTTACATTTACTTTATCGAATGACTTTTCGAAGTCCACAAAACATGCAAATACACTTTCTTTGATCACGGCATTTCTAATAGATGTTAACTCAAAAAGTGCCTCCCTCGTTCTCATACATTCTAAAACTAAATTTCACCCACACAGTTTTTACATCTACACTTATTCATTGTCATAAAATGTCACCTTCATAAAACAATTACTCAATAAATAACACACATTTCAAAAATATATCTCTGCGAATAAGTATAAATAACTTTTAATAACACAATAGTATATTACATCACTTAATTTAACAAACAATCTCACACATATCTTAAATTCATTGGATCAAATCTATCTCCTCAAGAACTTCCCGTTTACTGTCAAACAACTGCAATAATAGTATTGAGTTCTCCATTCAACAATATAAAGTAGTTTCAAACATGTTCTACCATCCATCTATTAATAGAGTACCGGCATGTAAGTAATTTTTATTTTATTTATTTATTTGCTCATTTATTAATTTATTACAATAGAAGAGATTTTATAACAATTTGTGGGTCCTTACCTTGTCTGTTTAACCTTTTTAAAAAAATTTTTATACCTTTTATTCAACTCAATCATTTAAATAAAACCACAGACATGTAATATTGGCATAATTATTGTAATTTATAACATCTAATTTGTTTATCTTTATTAGACAACACCCTAATATGGGTTTTTATCATTTCAGCATTTGTTTAACTTTGTATCGAGACCTGAAGATGCTTTGCATATTGTAGAAAGCGAAACCGGTCGTCTGATAGTTAAATTAAATTGATTGTGAGTAAGTCTTATTTATTATTTTTTACCTATTTGAAATGGACTCACACAAGCAACACATTCATGATTTCGATATTCTAAGCATTTTCTCGCATTGTGTTTTTAGGTATTGCGACAAAGATGGGTTTGAACCAATCTGCGGGAATCACTCCGGTGTTATATACTGAATAGTCTTACTACTACTACTACTTTTATGTTATCATTCTCTATTAGTTTCAGCAAGCAATCAGTGTATCATCTGGACCACAAGCTGTTCTAATTTTAGCATTATCTATAGCGTGTTCTACCTCGTATTTCATAATTTCTGGGCCGTCAGAACAGTTTTGGTAGAATTCGGCAATATTATTCCTGTCATCTTCAAACAACTCTGATATATACAGTCGCCATTCTTGTCGACACTACATTCTGATAATCGTCTTTTATGGGAAGGCCCTGCTACTGTATCTACACAGACGTGGTCTTAATTCTCATCTTTAAGATCTGTAACAAAATTCATGCTATATATTTTAATACTCGTCACTATAATGTATCCAATACAAATTATTCATAATCCAACTACGTTCTTGCCATCTGAACTATTCGCTTTCCTGGGTTGTTCATTTTATTTTTATATTTCGAACACTATACGCTAGTTTAACAATTTCGTATGTAACCTGAACTGAAACAGAATGACAAGACAAATTCCTATGAGTACAGATCGCTATTTAAACCACACTTAATTGCTACCTTTGCGAATATTGTATCTTTGGACACGCAATAAAAAAGTCGCTCTGTTTTGAATTTTGTCAGCGGCACAAATATTGAATTGGGCATGCAACATTTGTGGACTAAGCTTACAGTGTTTTTAATGGACATGTCTTTAATGCTGCTTTAGTAACTAGTAAACCGTCCCATGAGGATACCATATTTGAATAATAAAGGTTTTATCTCGACCGGCACAGACCTGTATATATCTTATTTATTACAAAAATGGACATAAAATACAATATTTGTACTCTTAGCCGTTGATATAATCGGAACTGTCTTTATGAACATTTATGTCTCGCTTAATTTTAATATCTACAGCTTTATGGCATTTTCGATTTCGTTTATTTTTCTTGTCTTCTCTTTGTGTTTTAATTGTTTTATCTGAATTTAAATTTGATGAAAATTCCATTCTTCTTTGATGCTATTTTCTTCACCTCTTTTGTTAAGCATCAATTTTATTTTCTGCTGGCGCTTGTTCTTCTTTTGTTTTAGTTCTAAATAGCACAAAACTGAATATTTTCAATAACGATTCTGAGAACATTAGAGTTCTTAAATTTTTTTTCATACTTAATATTCTGCCAGTAATATTCTTTTGTCTCTTACCTTTCTAATTTCTCCTCTATCTTTTATATAGTGATAATTATACCTCCCAGTAGTGCTGGTCACAGGATTTTAACTCTCCTTTCATTTCTCTCATGTCTTTTTACATTTGTTGCTTATTTCGAATATTTATTTGGTCCGTAGTTTTCTAAATCTCCCTTTGCTTGCTGTCTTGGTCTTATTTCTTAGTTTCTTCGTCTACATTTTAACCAGTCTACTGTAATTAATTATGAAATTTTATTATAACCATATACAGATTATTTTTTGGCAGTTTTTTTATGATTCTAATTTTTTTGGGAGCAGTTTTATTAAAAATCATAAAACTAAATAAATTTACGCATTCGGATTTATAAATCACTTAGTATATGATGTTACACATATGCAACGCTAGGGGCTAATGGGTGCAAAAAATTCAAAATATATCTGCTATCAGTTATATTTAATTAAAAACTAAAGATAATGAAAAAGAAAATTAAACATTGTCCTCTGGTTAACTGGAAGAACAGATAGTTCTTCTATCAGATTATCAGATAGTTCTTCTATTATTTTCACCAGTGGTGCTGCCGCCTTTCCAAAGTATCTTTCTCTGTCAATATCAGGAATTACAGATTTTCCTTGATATATCTCGAAATTAATCAAATAGCCCAACATTGTATATAGGCACTAGACTTTATAATCAAATGGTATGGGTTTGGCTCATAAAAATTTCTTGCAGCTATGTTTACCGTAGTATTTGACCATTCTTTCGTCGAAAGTCAGATCTTCTTCAGGAATAAAATACTTTTTGAATCTGTCCTTTACTTTATTTATAAATGGCAGTATTTTCCGGAGCTTATCACCCTTATCAATATTTGCGTTAGAATTCAAGTGGATAAGCCTCAATATTTGCTCAAATCTGTTGCGTCTCATAGCATTCTATACAAGTTCGTTTCTAGTGTTAAGACTTTGCTCCCAATATTGGTTTGTTTTCTGCACCAGAAATAAAATGATTTCTTCATCTATGAACATTTCTAATATATCAAGAACTGATTTGTTTTTAAACAGTGAATAATCTGACTCAGAAAATTGTTTCTCGTTATATGTGAAATCTCTCGAACCCTAATCCCCGGATTCAGAAACTTTTGGTATACCATATGAGCAGGTGCTATGTCGATATCATTTGCCAAAGAAATGTTCTTCTGTTGATTCTGACTGTTAATTAGGAATTTCTTCTCCTAGTATAATTCCATTAGCAGTTCTAACTTCTGCATCAGCAAGTAGCTGACGTTTGCTCAAATTGTCGAAATCTCCGCCCTCGTCCTTATCTCTGGAATCCTAATCCGTCAGAGTAGCCGGATCCAGTGGCGTTATATAAATTGCCTCTATAGAGTTATCTATCTGGTCATATTCTCCAAAGACTATATCAATAGCTTCTTTAACAGTCAGGCCTCTTTAACTCGTTCGCTGCCGATCACGCGCCAGTGCGTGATGGTCGTACTTGGAAAAAGGCCGATCACGCGCCAGTGCGTGATATAGCTGTAAGCTCTATAATGTAGGTTTTTAAATACGGCTTATGGAATGAGTTTAAAAATAAGTGTCGGCCTGCTAGGATCGATCATAGGTTATGATTTACATTGCGCGGTTTTTGATTTGACAGTACCAGTGTATGTTGACAGTCTAGTGAAAATGGCGGAAAGTAATAACATTGTGGCAGGACCTTCTCAACCAAAAAAGGTAAAAATTGATTTAAAACAGCCTTTAAGTGAAAAAGAACTACTATATTTACTGGAACATGACAGCTCCGACGAGGACGAGATGGTATTTGGTGATTTGGATGAATCGGACGAAGTATATTCTGAGGATTCTGAAAATGATATTGGTGTACAACAGTACGTGTTACAAAATAATGATAATGAACGTCCACAAAACCTTTCTCATAATCAAGACCAGTCTATACAATTTTCTTTGAATCCAACCACAATGAAAGATGTTTTTGAATTTACTGAACACGAAAGATTATTAGTAGACGTAACTGGAATGACACCGATTGAATATTTTAGATTGTTTGTGACAGACGATTTTATTACAAAAATTTGTGATTTGAGTAACAGTTACGCCATTAATCTATTTTTATCTGAAAGAACATGCTTTAAATCCAGGATAACTAACTGGAAACAGTTAACTTCTGAAGATTTGTTACTGTTCATAGGCTTACTGTTACACATGGGCAATATTCGAATAAACCGTGTCCAAGACTATTGGCGACAAGATGAGTTATATAGCATTGGGATATTTCACAAAGTTATGAGCCGAAATCGGTTTTTATTGATAATGCGTTGCCTGAATTTCACGGAAAATAGAGAAAATGGTATTTTACCTGAAGACAAATTATTGAAGATTAGATACCTAATTAATTTTTTTAACGAAAAAGTATGTGCACTGTATTATCCAGGACGGGAGCTAAGTTTAGATGAGTCTATGGTGTTATGGCGAGGCAGACTTCAATTTCGCCAATATATAAAAAATAAGAGGCATAAATATGGCATTAAATTATACATGCTGACAACCCCAACTGGTATGGTTTTAAAATTTGCCGTTTATGCAGGAAAACTGGACGATCTGGGTGGTAAAGATCATGCATCAAAAGTGGTAATGCATTTATTGGACGGTTTTTTGGAAGTAGGACATAGTGTGTATATGGACAATTATTATAACAGTTTTTTATTAGCTAGAACACTATTGAATCATAAAACACACTGTACGGGAACTTTAAGATTGGACAGAAAGCATGTACCGAAGGAAATAAAAGACAGTAAGTTAAAAAAAGGTGAAGTAATGGGAAGGTATGCAGATGGAGTACTCATAGGAAAATGGAGAGATAAGAGGAATGTGTCCTATATTTCTAATGAATATCGAAACATAATGGTGGATGTACCAAATAAAAGACAACAAATTGTATCGAAGCCCTTACCGATCGTTCAATACAATAAGTATATGTCCGGTATTGACAGACATGACCAAATGCTCTCTTATTACCCGGCAGAGAGAAAGACATTAAGATGGCCTACGAAGATGTTTATCCACGTGCTGCAATTGATGCTTATCAATTCACACCATTTATATAACAAATACTCTACCCAAAAAATAAGTCTTTATGACTTTCGTATTCGAGTCATACAAAGTTTATTAGCCCCGGCCCAGAAGAGGGCAGAAGAAGACCAAGCACACCGACGACCCCCAGAAGTTGGTCACATTATGTCACAAAGAGTGGCACCACCAGGTATTAAGAAAACACCTAGAAAACATTGCAAGTTATGTTACGAAAATGGAAAAAGAAAGGATACTATCTACACATGTAGGTCGTGCCCCAGTGAACCAGGATATTGTCTAGATTGCTGTACCATTATTCATAAATAAGTTACAAATGTTTAATCCACAGGGACATTTGTGGTTTGATCACTTATTTTAGTTTTTTTATTTATTTTATTTTGATCTGAGTAATATTTTTGTTTTATAAATTTTTTATGTATTGTTCGTTTTATTCGAATTAGTATATATAATATAATATAAATATAGTTTCTGTTTTCGTATTATAATAACGTCGTTTTATTGTCTCACTCTATGGCGTGATACGGCTAATTGAGATGAAATTCCTGGGACCACACCGATCACGCGCTGGCGCGTGATATCACAAAGTATATCTAATGACAAAAAAATTAGTTGACATAGCTTTAGTGCAACTATTCAAGCAACTTTTCTAAATAACATTTAAACGAAAAATTCAAAAAACGTTGTCGGCCCCTACTATATATTGCATTTTAAAGATCGGCAGCGAACGTGTTAAAGAACTGAAGCAAGGCCTCTGAAATAAAAAAACAAGTTAGTAAGTATATACTGCATTTTTAAATTTAAAATTTTTTAATTTAAAAGTTCTATAAACACTCTGTATACTAATACTTCCAAAAATGTTACTAAAGATACCATACAATGAAAACAAAACATATTATATATTGGTACAAAATAACTGGAGAATATGCTTACATTATATTCTAGCGTTACAAATATGTAACAGTCAATTTGCTAACCGAACAACTTTTTATTCGTAAAAACATCAAAGCTTTTTTACACAAAAAATATATTCTAATTTTTTATACTTTGTTTTCAATATTAACTTATAACAAAATAAGATTTATATACTTACTCTTTATCAACGAAGTCCATTATTTGAAGCTTTATTTCTTTCGTTATATTTTATCCAGGCACAGATTCAAAACAAAGTTCTAATAAAATCGCACATTTACAACTATGTAAACACTAGCACCTTCTGACAAGAACTGACCTGTTTTTAACTAAAAATTTTCAATGTAGGCGATAGCACCACTTTGCCGTTATATAATCGTAACGCTAGGAACTAATGGGTTAAGGTAACCGGATGGCGTCATCTCTTTATTGAGACAATTTGGTCTTTTTTCTATCTCTATAGCTTCTCGGATACTTCTTGGTTGGAAATGGTTGAAGGCTATGGTTCTGGAGTTTTCAAAATCAATTTTGTATCCTGTATGAACACGGTATTGACCTAGAGTTGACATTGATTTTGAAGATACCTTAAATTTTAAACGGACATTGCAGGGTTTTGTTTTAAGTGTAGTTTTAAAAGATTCATCAATTGTTTACGATTTTGATTAAGCTGTATTTATTATGTTTTTAGATTAAGATATGGGGGACGCAGTAATAGAAGTGGATGGAGTTCCTGAGGAGAGACAAAAGATGATCAAGCACTTTCACCATGCAAGAAGCAGCATTATTGACTTTAAGGCACAAATATTGGAAAAAGTCCTAAACAACTCCAAAGAAGAAATAGAAGAAACAGTCAAGTATTACACCGAAGATTTGGAAAATCATCCCGAAGATGGATTAATGAAATACAGATATAAAACACACAGTAAAAAAACAATTTTGATTATAGCATGCACCGAAAAAAATGTCACTCCGGAAACTCTGGACGTATTATGTTCTGCAATAAAGGCTAGATACAATAAAATTGATTATATAGATGACCTTTATTACGGGTGGGAGCCAATACATTATGTAGCCAAATGTGCAGATGTAAAAAAACTAGAAGTTATTTTAAAGCAAATACCAGAATCTACTAATTCTTTAACGTACTTCTCCGAAAATCCATTACATATCTTATTACAATATAAAAAGTCGGTTCCGCCTTTTGAGGTCATATTACATAACGGCATTGAGCCTAAACTAACTACAATTATCTGTCCGGAACCAAAAGATATAGTAATTTGTGCTGATCTTCTTATTACAAATGGTGCAGACGTTAACCACACTAACTTTTGGAATGAAACTCCAATCTGTTTGGCTGTAAGATATAGATATACTCACTTAATACAGCTGCTACTGAAAATAGATTATCTAGATATAGACACATGCACAGAAACAGGAAAAACTATTCGAGAGTACCTGAAACTGAACTTGTTTACCGATTTACCTCAGTCGTATGTTCAAGAGGATCCCGCAGTAATCAAATTCAATCTTTTGAAGGCAGGTGATGTAGAACGATTTATACAGTATAACGCAGAAAGCATAATGAACAATACAAACTATTTTGATGGTTATGATGATTACACAACCTGCGGAAACATGCTACAGCTTTGTATGCGAAAAGGTTTTCTGGAATATTTACACGATGAACGCAGTAAACTCAAGCGGCTGACTAATTATGATATAAACGATACTCCAATGCTTACAATTTTCAAATCAAAAGGTTACTTAAAGTAAGAAAATAAATACTTATTTATAATTACAAGTATATTTAGCCGTTATATAGAAGCTACATGTTATACAGAAGCCGGAGACAGAATGATCATTGTGTCTTCGGCTTCTATATAACATGTAGCTTCTCCATTTTTAAAAATTTTAAAGTGTTTGTTTGTCTTTGTGTATTGTATTGTTATGTCCAAATTTACATGTATGACATTCTGCTCATGTCGGATAGGCCACAACTGACGAAATGCCCCTGAGGATGATATATTGATCGAAAGTACTTGGGCAAGATTTAATTAATTACTGTGTTCGATATTTGCCTTGTACACCATCAAAGTTCAATTATTCGAACATTCAACCTTATATTGTATTATAAAACAGTTTATTAGATTGGAATAAATTAATAAATGAGCAAATAAATAAACATTACTTACATGCCGGTACTCTATTAATTGATGGATGGTAGAACATGGTTGAAACTACTATGTATTGTTGAATGGAGAACTCAATTCTGCTATTGTAGTTGTTTGACAGTAAACGAGAAGTTCTTGAGGAGATAGATTTGATCCAATGAAGCAGAGATATGTGTGTGATTGTTTGTTAAATGAAAGTGATGTTATATACCATTGTATTATTTAAAAGTTATTTATACCCTATTCGAGAGATATATTTATGAAATGTGTGTTATTTATTGAGTAATTGTTTTAAGAAGGTGACAGTTTTATGACAATGAATAAGTTTAGATGTACAAATTGTGTGGGTGTGCAATTATTTTTCAACTTGTAATTATCAAATTTCTTTGATAAAGTTCTATTGGCAAAATAGTAGATTATTGCAAAGTCAAGTAAATAAAATATTAGAATTAAAACAATTAAGGACAATGTAAAACACACTAAAACAGAAAACACTTAGAAGGGACGAAACAAACATTAAATTTAAAAGGGGAAGGACTTTTATGCACTACATCTCAGTCTTGGGCACAATGAGTTTTTTATGATGTTATCTATTAGATTTTAGTGGTAAATTTAACAGATGTAGGTTAGCATGTGACAGTTCTTCTTCTGTTTCTCAATACTGTAAGTTAAGTTATCTAGTTTTATGAAATATGCTGATATTAATGAATGTCTATAAATTGTTTCAATTAATATATCAAAAGTAAATTGATGTGTTTAATATTGGCATACTTTAACAATCTTTAATTAATTAAATTTAAATGTAACAATACGAATAATTGAAATACATCCCACATTATAACTAACTCAGTCCAATGTCCAAATTACTGAACAAATTAAAGTGATTCTTTGGCAACTGAACATGTACATTTTATAATCAAAATCAAACGTATAACAAATTTACAAAACATTTTTATTTGAAATTATTGTTGATGTGAGTTATCTGTCATGGTGTTTATAGATATTTTAGATATTTATTATTTTTAATTTAAAGCGTTATCTAATTTTGAAGAGTTTTCTGACAGCAGTTTATGTTCCGACGGTTGTTTTCAATGTCTTTCTTGATATTTAAATTGTAGGTATTTCATTGCTTTGTAGCAATGGCAAGTGACACTGGAACTTTCTACAGAATCAACTTCTACTTGTTGTTATCGTTCGTACGCAATATTTTCAACCACATTGTTCCACGGATCCATATCACTAGTCAAAATAACTCAATTTTAGCAAACAGCACCCTACACTCTACTAATGAACTACTTCCTAACTAACTCACTTTTGTATAGTTTTAAATAATTTAACTACTTTAATTTAACTTTTGTTTTGTATAACTCACTTTGTATAATTTAACTATATGTATATATATATATATATACATATATATATATATATATATATATATATATATATAATATATATATATATATATATATATATATATATATATATAATATATATATATCCGGTTTTTTTAGGCGTTACGCCCGTCCGGTAGGGATCTATGGAGGAGTATCACCGAGCCGCAAGCCCTTATCTCTTGCCGTACTGCTCCACCATAGGCCGATTAGATCCCAGCATATCCTAGTCTAAGCCGCAGATTCATCTAGAATTTTAAACTGCTGCGTTAGACTTTTTGTTTTCTGTAACACCGAGCTAGGGCTCGAACCCACATCCACTGAACCATTCGACAGTGAAGCGAATGAGAGGCAGCCGCACAGCCCGCTGAGCTATCTGACCGACCGACCATATATATATAATATATATATATATATATATATATATATATATATATATATTATTTTTCTTATTAGTTTTAATACCGTATCTCTTCTTCTCTAAAAAATCTAGACCCTTTCATATTAACTATTTAAATGTTAACCTATTTTTAATTGCATCTTCAGTAGATATATAACTTATATATTGACGCAACTTCTAAATCGCATCATATCTCTAATCGTAAATGCCAAATATGTCACTCGTGACGTTTTCACGTTAAAATGTTATGCTTCACGTTAAAACGTCACATTTCTTCGTCAAAGTATCATGCGTCACGTTAAAGTGTTTTGCGTCACATCAAAACGCTACATTTTTTCGCAAAACGTCACGCGTGACTGTTGGCATTTACAACCAGGGAGGGGTTGCAATTTAGAGAATGCACCAGCATGTAGGTTGTATATCTGCTATCTTGTAATATTTGAAATAATTAGTAATTCTTCTTCTTATTGCGTTGTCTCCTTTCGAAGGTTTGGCTATCCAAATGGCAATTGTAGCTTTGCAAACTGCTGCACAAAAGACTTTTGTAGATGAGCATTCACACCATTTCCTAAAGTCTTTCAGTCACGAGTTCTGATGTCTTTTAACTTATATTTTGCCCTGAACTTCACCTTTTAATATAATTTGCAGTAATTCATATCTTTTACCTCTAAACACATGACCCAAGTATTGTAATTTTCTCTCTTTGATTATGCTAAGTAATTCTTTTTGTTCACTCATGCACCGAAGTATCTCACCATTGGTAACTTTTTGTAGCCATGGAATTCTCAGCATCCGTCTGTAATAATACATTTAAAGGCATTTTCTTAAGGCTGTCTATTTTTTTCTGTTTAAAAGTCCGTTGTTAAACTTTTACAGCCATCCAGAAACAGAGAGAAAACATCTGAACATTCGATTTCTTACGCTCTAGACTAAGGTCTGATCTTGCAAAAAATGTTTTCATGTTCATGAGCGTTTCCTTGCTTGTTCGATTTTGACAGGATTTCTTTTACACTTACACTGGCTGCTGATATTTGCTCCCAAATATTTTGTGGAAGTTACCTATTCTATTATTTGTCTCTTGGCGTACAAATGTACGTTTGTTGGTATCTTTAAAAAGATACCAAAAGAATTTTAGTTTTGGAAACATTTAGATGTAAACCGAACATTTCGCTATGACGAACTGCCGCGATTTATTATTTTTTATAGTTCTTGTGCGTTGCTTGCTAGTATCATCAGCACCTGATGTTGTCTAATCTTGATTCCACCATGAACCTCGTCTAATGATTTTATGAATATAAATTCTGTATACAGATTAAATAATAGTGGTGATAAGGCGCAACCTTGCCGCACTTCTCGTCGGATTCATATATCTTCGGATGTTGTGTGCTCTATTTCCATTGTTGCCGTTTGGTGGCAATATAGTTCTGAGATAATTCGAAGTCTAGTTGGTCAATTCCATTTGTTCTCAGAATTTCGATCATCTTTTAATAGTAAACGCAGTCAAATGCTTTTTGATAATCAATAAAACATGCATGACATCTAGATTCATGTCTCTACATCGTTGTGCTAGCACATTTAAGGCAAAAAGAGCTTCTCGTGTTCCCAATCCATTTCGAAATCCAAATTGAGTTCTACTCATCTGAAACGTACACTTTTTGTAAATTCGTGTATGAATGATTCTTAGAAAAGTGTTAAGGACATAAGACATCATGCTTAATATTCGATAGTCATCGCAGGATTGGGAATTGGATTTTTTTAGTAATGTTACGAATGTAGATATTAGCCACTGATGGTATTTTACTTTTGGCATACATATTCTTGAATAATGCTGTTATTAAGTCGAGGCTTTTACTTTCGTTGTCTACAATTAATTTAAGTATTTTGATATTGATATTGTTTGGACCGGTGACTTTTCAAAAAACAAGAGACATCCAAAGCATCGCCAACAAGGTAAAGAGATGGGACATTACAAGGCTCGATCTACCTGATAATGAACGCCAATATCAGTCACTTGTACGAAACAAATCGCAGACACTGGAAGAAGAAGAAACATCAACACCAGAATTTGCCGTAGACCATAAATGGCAAAACATAGTGAATGTCATAGAAAGTGCCGCAGCGGAAACTATTGGAAAAAAAAGGAATAACAAGAAGAAAAACCAGTGGTTTCACGAGGAGTGCGAACAAAGCTTGCAGCAGAAAGCAGTCAAGAGGCTGGAGTTACTAACACGACCTACAAGAGAACAGAGAAGACTACAACAGAGTAAGGGCTCAGACGAGAAGACTTTTGAGAAGAAAAAAGAAACAGTACCTAGAAGCGCAAATACAGCAACTCGAGGAGGAACAGAGAATCGGGCAGTCTAGACAGTTTTATAGGGACCTAAAAACAATGAAGGGCAACACGACCAACAGCCCAAGATTTATAAAAGATGATACAGGACAATTACTTACCGACGACGAGGAGATAAGCCGTCAATGAAGAAAGCATTTTAAACAAGTTTTAAATATAGAAACTCCCACAACAACGGGGCAACACAGACAATACCAGTTAGCCGAACCTGTAATAGTAGAGCCAACACTAGCTGAAGTAAAGTCCGCAATTTCGTCCCTAAAAAATTATAAAGCTCCACGACCAGACGGCATACAGGCGGAACTACTAAAAAAAGGGGAGAAAAGCTACATCTTGAGTTATACCATCTTATAAGAGAAGTCTGGGAAAGAGAAGAAATACCAAAACACTGGCATGAAAGTCATATAATACATATCCACAAGAAAGGAGACAAACAAATATGTCGCAATTATAGAGGAATATCGTTAGTCAATACAACATACAAAATTTTATCCACAATATTATTTAGAAGACTAACTAAATACGCAGAGGAAATAATAGGTGACTATCAAAGTGGATTTAGACCGGGAAGGTCGACCATAGACCAGATCTTCGTCCTACGCCAAGTGTTGAAAAAAACTGGAGCATTCAATCGCGACGTACACCAAATATTCGTGGACTTTAAACAAGCCTACGATTCTGTTAGCAGAGAGGCATTGTGGAAGACCATGGTAGAATTGGAAGTAACTGGAAAGCTGGTACGATTAGCACAGGTGAGCACGGAGAACGCTTCCGCACGGATCAGAATTGGCAACACCACGTCGGAGGAATTCCACATTGACACCGGGCTTAGACAAGGAGATCCTCTCGCTCCCCTGCTGTTTAACTTCGCACTGGAACATGCAGTAAGGAAAGGTCAGCCACAATTGACAAACGGATTTGCCGCACAATGATCAAAAATACTATTGGCCTTTACGGATGGCGTGGACACAATAGCACAATCCACCAGAGCTACAAAAGAAGTTTTCACCCTATTCGAGACCGGAGTCAAGGAAATTGGTCTTAAGGTAAACGAGGATAAGACCAAGTACATGGTAGTTACGAAGAACCCAAGACCAAGGGTTAGGCAAAACGTAACAATTAACGAATATAACTTCGAAGTCGTCAAAGAGTTTAAGTATCTGGGAGCGATCATAACATCTGAAAACAAATATGAAAATGACGTGGTAGCCAGGATAATAGCAGGAAACAGGACATATTACTCTTTAATGACCATCCTTAAATCAAAAATACTCTCAAAATTAGCAAAAATAAGAGTATACAAGACAATAATTCGACCCAAAATAACGTATGGAAGCGATACATGGACGCTGAACCAGCGGGAAACGACAAAATTACTGGTTCTTGAAAGAAAGATACTGCGGACGATCTATGGGCCTTGTAGAAAAGAAACAACAGGAGAGTGGAGAAGAAGACACAATAATGAACTCCAGACAATATGTGGAGATGAAAACATAGTCCGCTACATTAAAGCAAACCGAATAAGATGGGCGGGCCACGTCCTAAGGTCAAATAACGAAAGACTTCTGAACACCACATTCTGGGAAAGGCCCGATGGCAGAAGGTCAGTTGGCCGCCCAATAAAGAGATGGAAGGACGCAGTGGCCAGTGATCTACGTAAAATGGGAGTGCAGCAGTGGGAAATAGCTGCTCAGGACCGACAACAATGGAGGGAAATAGTAAACGCGGCCAAGACTCACCTAGAGTTGTAGAGCCAAATGATGATGATGGTGGCTTTTCAGTTTTTCTGAGCTTTTTATATTGTTTCTTTCAGTTTGTGTCTACCTGTCATTTCTTTCACTTTTTTATGAACATTAAGGGTTTTATATCTTTCCTGAAGTTGTTCAATTTCTAGGCATTTGGTTGACATCGTTTTCTTTAGCTTATGTGCACTTTTTTCTTATGATTTTATTGACTCGTTTGTATTCTATTGGATTTGTTTTATGTTTTCTATCCTTACGTTCATGAGGTCCATGATCTCTTGCATTATCTATTCTTGTTTTCTGTTGTTTTTCGTGAACCCGATGTCGTCTTCTTGTATCTTTGTTATTTTCGTTTTTAGAGCAGTTCATGTTACTTCAACGTCTGTCTGTACCACGTTCTCTAGCGTTTCTATTTCTTTCGTAACATTGATACTTATTTAATTTTTCTTTTCAGCGTTCTTCAGTTTTGAGATGTCTATTTTTCTTGACACTCTTTTCCTTTTAACTTTAAGAAACCTTTTTAGTCTAAACTCCATTAAAACTGGATTGTGATAGCTGTGATTGTCAGTTCCAGGATATGTTTTAGTAGATTTTATGTACTTCTTGAAGTTGTTATAGAGCAAACTGAAGTCAATGTGATTTCTTACAATTTTATCTGTTCTCTCTGCAGGTGATTTCCAACTGTCTAGCCTTCTAGGATGTTGTTTGATGAAGGTGTTGGCTAGTAACAGATTGTTATCTACGCAGAATTGCACAAGTCTATTGTTTCTGGTACCGAAACGTATGCTCCTATGTTGTCTCCTTCAGCACCACGACCAATTTTGATGTTATAGTAGTCACCCATAATTAGTACCTATCATACCACAAAACTGATCACATATTTTGGAACATTTTTAATAAATATATGTTTTGTTTTTTAGGTGCATTATATACTTGTTGGATAATGGTGCCGATCCATTCAAAACATCGAGAAAATTTCCAACAAATCTTCTAGAATATGCTTCGATACGGGGATATTACCCATTCGTCGCCGTTCTTATGCAACACAAATACAGCAAAATCAACTCTAACGGAATATTCCCGGTTCTCTCCAAAATGTACAATAAATACAAAATGCCCTTGAATAACTACGACTTTTATAGATATTGCGTTTTGTATTTACTTCTAAATAGGTTAGTATATCTGGTTAGACTAAACCAGGAAACGTTAACAGCCAAACGACGTGCAATATTAAATAAGCTTCTTCATCATTTAAATCTTGAAGCCAATGACAAGAGGGTGGACGATTCCGAAATAATTTGTCAAGTATTGCACTTGGGTGCGAGTTTGACTTCGATCGATGAAACAAAGAATCATAATCATGATGTATCTAATGGGACCAATGTTACGTTCAATAAGGAATCTAATAGTATTACAATCCAAGAAAATAAAATGGCGATAGAACGAATAAATCAACATATTTTAAAAATGCATCTTGACGATTCCATAAATGGAAGAAAATTTAAGTACGACACCATTATACAAGATGATGAGACAGTTTATAATGAAAATAGGACACTACATTTTTTGGCAAAAGACGAACATAAAAAACATTTACTTTGCCATCCTTTACTAATAGAGTTAGTTAAGAATAAATGGTATAAAGTTCGGTGGTTCTTTTATGCCGACTTGATATTTTACGCTCTTCTTCTTATAAATATTTATGCTTACATGATCTCTTTACGTTTTAACTATTTCTACACTTTTTTAAACTGGTTCTACTATTTTTCAATCGGTTTTCATGCCATAAAAGAAGGTTTACAACTATTTTTTTTGTATAGGTGGAAGTATTTCTTGGATTTATCAAATATTCTAGAAGTTACAACTATTGTCACCTGTTTATGGACCATTATTTATCCTAATATTTACACGTCCATTCTTGCGATGCTTTTTTCAACGTTCATATTTTTTGTTATGTTAGGACAGCTTCCTTTCTTTACTAAATACACCATCATTTTCAGTTCCATAAAATATTTCTTTCAATATACTGGATTTTATTTTATATTATTCGTATGTTTTGCTCTCTGCTTTTACATTGTTGCACCTTTCGAAGACAGTAAAGGTAAATCTCCGGATTGGGGAGGTATGTTTAAAAGTCTCTTCTACACATTAATTTTCTTTACAGGCGAATTTCACGACAATGTTCTAGAACCTATTGATTATCCAATTTTTGGCAGAATCATCATGACAATTTTTATCATTGCTATGACGATTATCCTGAACAATCTCCTGGTTGGGTTAATAGTGGCCGATATGGATAAGATACAGAAGACGAGTAGGTTGCACAAACAAATTAAACTTGTTAGTTTTATTAAAAGTACAAACACTTTTGCAAAACGATTGCATACTTTTAAGTACATGGATTTTGTTAAACGAATTATTAATCAAGTAAATATTTTTCATAAAGGTAAGCCCAAAGTACTTAAATATGTTGACCTGAACCACTTTGATGACGATAATAAAGCGTATCTTAGGGAAATCAAGAAATATCAGCCATTTAAAAGACATATGTTAAGGGATTTGTACCTTTCGTTAAAGGAATGACTGTAGGTATTCACTATTACGTTTATTAATTTATTTTTCAATGAGTTACAATATGTTTTTAACACAACACCAAAAATTTTCCTTTATGGGCCATCGCCCTCTATTCTTTTGGGTTATGTGGCACTACAGTGACTGTCTCATCTTTATTTTCTACAGATCCTTTTTCACTGCAGGGAACCTGGCCTAAAATGACATACTACTTTTTTGTCGTCCAATAACTTTTTTATTTTTTTAATCAAAATTTAAAAAAACATAAATGTTGTTCATTGTTTTGAAGTAGAACAGATCATGGAACATAAAACTCTAACAACACAATATTTTTTAATTAAAAAAAGGAAACAAAATAAACGTTGCTATGTCATTTTATCCAAGTATATTCGGCTAAAACGACACACTCACATGGATAAAATGTCATATAAACTAAATTAGCAAAGTTCACAAATAAATTTTTTGCACGATTTTGAGATACCAGCACAATCACAGTGTGCCCATTTTGAGCATTTTTGGCACCTAATCCAGAATTCTTTGGACCTTGAATGGGAGTACAAACTGTTACAATATAAACATGGAGGATTATTTTCGTCTTCGTCATCATCTGACACAATGGTCTTTGTTTCCTCCTCGCGATCTTGTGTCATTAAAGTCAGATTCTTAATTGCTCGCTTTGCAGCTTGACGTTTTTCTGTAGCTCGCTTCTCGAGTGCTTTGGCTTTTTGTTCTTTCATATTTGGGGTAGCCGTTAGAACTTTTGTTCCTTCTGATTTTCTTTTTTTGGAGCGTGACTGGACACCTGAACACGATGGAAGAGGTGAAATGTCAAGTGGACGAATACCAGGATTAATTGAAGAACAACTTTCAAGTGAGTTTGGTCTAGGTGTAGAAACCGGTTTGTTTCCTTGATCTGGAAAATCTTGATGTCGCAAAACATTATCATTCTCTTCTTTTGACTCTGTTAGGGGTTGAATTGCAACTTCTTCTTGAATATCTGTTATTTTGGAAGGATTAAATAAATAATCAGGGAATATGTCGGGATTAAGGGGCCAAATTCCAGTCTTTAAAAATCCACTAACGGCATTTTGGTGTGTAGCTGCTTTTCCATACGCTGTAGCAAATAATCCTCCAACTTGGTATTGCGAAACTGTTCTGCCTGGATGACACTTCATCCACTTGGTAACTTCTTGATCATAGTAGCTCTTTAATGGACCAAAGAAACATACATCTAACGGCTGTAGACGATGGGTACAGTGCGGCGGAAAACACAATATCTTCATGTTCTTTGGCAAAAGTTAAAACATTAATGTTTTTATGGCTCGCATGCCCATCAAGCAACAGCATAACCTTGTCTTCTATAGAAGGATTAGAATATTCTTTAAAATGTTTCATCCATGTTAGGAACACTTCGCCTGTCATCCATCCTGTTTCCTGTGCTATTCCTAAAGTTCCTAAAGGCGCTTCATCTATTAATTCTTTTTTCCAATTTTTCCTGGGGAATATAAGTGTTGGTGGAACATAATTCCCCACTGAGCTAATGCAAGCAACCATCGTTATGTGCTGCCCTCTTTCCGCACTTGTAATTAGGCCCACTTGCTTCCGACCCTTGGTTGCAAATATTTTGCCGGGTTTTTGAACCGTGGATAGGCCTGATTCATCCACATTCCATATGCGTGTAGGATTAATTTTGTTATTTGTAATAGTATCCTCTAAAAGTTTAAAAAAATTGGCAATTTGCGGCCTGTTGAATGATTGCGCTCTTGCTGCAGACGTGGACTCGGGTTTTCTAAGGGATATATCGGGGTGTCTAGACCGAAACCCTCGTAACCAATCCCAACCAGCCATCTTAGTGGTTGTGTTAAATCGGTGTACTATTCCATTTCGATCTGCTAACTGGTAGGCTAAAGAACGAACGTCATCACAAGATAATCCAAACAAACTTGATTCTAGGAGTTTTATGTGTGTTACGAGGTCTCTTTCTAATTCTACAGAGAACGTAGTTTCGTACCGGCCAAGACCTTTATTAGTACCTGATACCCGTTTATTCTTGTCTGATGCTCGTCTTCTTAAAGTAGCTTGGGGCACATTAAAAGTTATCGATGCTTTTAACCAGCCCATGTCTCCACACTAGACTGCCTGGATGGCTCTTTGCATTTGTACTGGATCCCAAGACTGGCGTGTACTTTTCCTTTCGTAGTGTCCCACCATACTAAAAAAGAAAAATACCATACATTAATATTCTACCTACCATATTATTATTAAAATTTATATGGGCAAAATGACATACTATGTCATTTTACCCGAGTATTTAATATGTCGTTTTACCCAAGTGTGAACAAGAACACGTTTTTTACAATAAATTTTTTGTTTAAACAAACAAAGCTTCCAAACATGATGTTTCTGTTAATATGAATAACAATACATACCTGGAACTAACAGAGATATAAAATTTTAAAGTTTTAAACGTTTTATAGCGAAGTATACGTCGCCTACCAAAATATTTTGGTACTCAATAAAGCACAAACCACCTTTTAACAAGTAAACGACTGAACTGATCGCGACGCCCGTTGGAACATCAATTATGCACCACGTGATGCTCTTGTATAAAACTTCTTAGCGCATAGCCATGTTGCCAAGTTAGAGATACACCGGATGTGTCATTTTACCCTAGTATGTCATTTTGGGCCAGGTTCCCCCATACGTTTTTCCTGTATCATCCTATAGTTGTTGTCACTATATTTTGATTTTGGTACCTTGTGAATGAAGTTTTGAGCTCATTAGATGTTGAATTGCAAGGAAGAATATTTCCTGCGATTATTCGCATTTTAACTTCCCGTTCTACGTTGTTGTCGTTGATGGTTATTGCTTCCAGCTATAGAAATTCTTTGATCACTCTTGAAATTCTGGTTATTTATAGAAAAACTACTGATTTCACTCGTCGCATGCGACAGGTGATCCAATTAATTGTCATCTACAATCACTCATTAAATTTTTAAAATAATAAATTTCTTACGTGTAAACCAAGAGAATATAAAGTATGATCTGGTGCACTTCTGACTTCATGATAATTTGGTGCCCTTTTGGTAGTCGCCTTGTTTGTTTCTTCTATCTCATTATATTTATTATACCTTCCGTTTCATTTGGTATGTCGTATATTAAGAGTTGATCAGTTGTTTATATTATGCTCTGCCAGAGGCTTTCTTTAAGTCAATAAATCAAAATTAGGCTTATAGTAAATCTAATTTTATCCATATTGCCCTATGATATTACGTATCTCGCTACATGTCCATTAACGCAGATACACTAGAAAAGTTGGTATTCGCTTTGTTTGTTTTCTCTCTCTTGGCATACTTGTTATATACTAACTTTTCATTTAACGCATCACACACTCCAATCGAACAAAACAATATAACAATGGAGATATGACGGAATGCCCTTTTTGGCCATGCCGCCATGTGTATTTTTTTGTCTTGTCTAACATATTTGCTTCCCTCTTTTAAGTGATATATCATACGTCACAATCTTATGAACTATTCTACCCCCACCACAAAATGCACAAAAAATGAGCAGAATGAATCTTAGCGTTTTCTTAATGGGATTTTACATGGGAAATGAGGCAAGCCAGGTATAGCACCTTTACTTCTAACATAAAACTTTTAATTAAGTTGGTTAATTAATCCTACCTTACAATTACAGTAACCTACCTACGATATCTACATAGTTTCAAAAATTATGCATCACCCAAAATTTTCGCTATTATTCAACTATTTTCAAACAAGCATACATTATATCATACTTTTCAAAAATTACTATTAAGAGATGATTTATAAAAAAATAATATACCGTTGACATAAATACAAAATTTTCACCCAGAGCTCCTCGCCGTAGTATCACATAAAGTTCCAAAATCCGTGTGATCTCCTTTGTCCTGTGAAAGTCTCACCAATAACCATCAATTCCATGCGTCCACCTGTCATAATACCTGCTCAAAACAAAACACTGCCACCAGCAAAAGAAGGAAGCTATATATGTTTTTTAGCCCACTGAAGACGGTACAAAATATATCTGTATTCCACCTGAGGAGCTCGTATTGGTCGACAACTCCTCAACCAAACTCTCAAATTCTTGTTTCTTATTGCAGTCAACGATATTATGACTCCTGTAGCATGTCTAAAGTATTTTTGGAGAGCTGGCACAGACATAGGAGAATTTTTTTGAATGGAAATTTGGATATATCTATTCTGTTGCTTATTGGTAACTTGAGGTCTACCAGAGCGAGCTTAATTTTATATCGAATTTTTCTCCAGAAGCTTATTCCATATCCCTGTCGCATCACTCTGAGAAATACTCACTCTTTCTGTAAGCTGAAGGATTCTGCACCGATCTCTTCCAAGAACATGCCGTAGGTATGATTTTTCCTTATTTTGATAGTTTTTGATAACTCAGAATGCCATTTGCTTTATTTATTACTTCTTTGATCTGTATTACTGTCCAGACCCTGGGCAATTAATTCTATCACCCTTCAGAGTTCATGTCTCGGTGCCAGGTAACAACACCGACCAAATATAACTTTGTTAAGACTATTAAAAATTTTTAAATAGATATCTAGTGTAAGTCTCATTGTGTTGAGCAAGGTTACTGTACGGTACTGGTGCAATTTCTAGTATTTCCTTAGCAATAATATATAATGTATATAGTTATCACTACTTTCTTTTTATATTTATTTTTTTATTCTTGATGATACATCAACAATAGAGGTACACAAAAACTTTTGTACATAGTTTTGTTTATAAAATTAACTTGTAAATTGCGCTGTGACTATGAGAGTGAACTCATTTCGTTGATATTACTCCGGAATTGATATTTAGCAGAAAAATTAAAAATATACATAAAATTATGTGCAATAAATTGTCAATATATTAGATTTGTAATATAAATAAATTATACGTTGATATTATGACTGACTAAAGTCCTAATTGTTTATTTAACAAATATATTACGTTTGTAAAAGCAGACAGATATTTTAATAACCTTTTAATCCTTCTCTATAGATCAATTTGAGATGCATACCTTTTTTAAAAAAATAAGTTAGAAGAAAGGGAGAAAGTCCTATTGCACTTCCATCAGGCCATTTCTGGTACTACAAAGGAGAATAGGATTCGACAGTAGAAGGCGTCGGTTTCTTCATTCACAAAAGAATTGCCAACAGAATTGTGTTAGTAAACCAAATCTCAACAAGGGTGGCCTACTTAAACATCAAAATAAGCGCAAAATATATCCTAAAGATGCATTTATGTGCACCACTCTCCTACTACAGGACATCCAGACAAAGAAGTCCAAATAATATTCTATAATTAACTACATGTTTTTTTGACTAGACTAACGTCATACAGCCAGACACAAAAGAACTAAGACAGTCATCATTATAATTATTTACCTAAATGTCCTATCAAGATAGAAGATTACATCGATATTAGGAGAACAGGGATACACTCTTCTCGCCTAGGGACCTATCAAGGCATTGATTTATATAAGACATAACAACACTAGGTCACGGAGAGGAGGAGGTTATACAAATGGTTTAAAACAAAGGTAACAAGATAAACTAAATAATTTTTAGAGAATTATAATGATAATTTGCTGTCTTTTAAACATTTTATTAAAGAGTTGTAAATATCTACAAAGCCAAGTGATAATAAATGTAGCATATTCCAAGGAGCTGCTATTTTATATTTTAATAAATCATTTATAAGTTTGGATGAGTAGACTCTGTTTTTAGAACAACCAAAAATATATGATCTAAATCACTTTCCTCTCCACAATGCTCACATTTGTGGTCATCCAAAACCTTTATTTTAAATAAGTGCTTTGAATAACATGCGTGTCCGAAACGTTATTCTAATAATGGAAGTTATGTGCCTCCTGGAAGCTCTAAAAGACTTGTACCAAGGAAATTTGGGAACATCTGGCTGAATTATCGAGTATCAATTTTGGTTCACAAAGGAGTATTCCTTCCACTGGTAGCTCCACTCTCGAAGCAATGTTGACTTGCAAGAAACAATACTGTCAGAAAGCGTTACTTTATGTAAAATATCAGTATCGGTTAAAATGCTTTCTTTGGCTAATAAGTCGACATATTCATTATGTTCAAATCCTGCATGTGCTTTATTCCAGAGACAATGTACATTGATTCCTTTGGTTAAAAGAGTTTGAATAATATGTTTAATTCTATGAAATGTATGGGCAGTCTTGTAAGTTTGGAGGTCCATATTTACCAATGGATTTTAACACTGCCAAGGAGTCCGACAAAATTATAATATGGGCGAACTCAACTTCAGCTACATATAATAAAGCTTCATATATT